CACCCCACAATTATTATGTACAGAATGTACCCTGTAAGAGAGACTACATAAAATAACAATTTTACCTTACAAGTAAATGGGGACGTATGAAGCTTATCCCATTCTTGTGATCTAATCATAACTATATTCATGGGTTTGGATACTTTAAGACAAAAAACAGCAGTCCACAGCTTTTCAAAATGTAACTTCTCTTCTTCCTTTCTCTACTAATTCCTAGCCTGTATGTGAGAAGGAACCTTAAGGAGATCCCAGCACTCAGGACAGGAAGAATAGAAAGAAGGAGAAATAAAGGAGCAAATTTCTCTCCTTTTTATTTCTGGCTAAACCTACCCTTAACTTTTTCTAATACCCTTAGTAGTGGTTGAAAAACTTGTTGTAGACTGGCCTCCACCTATTACAGTGCTCATAAATTTATGAACAAGGGCCCTAATTTTAGATTTACAATAATCCACATAAATATGAAGAATATATAAATCAGATATAACATATCCCTCAATATATGCCAATATATGACTTTTGAATTGTCCTATGAAAGATGAGTACTGCTCTCATTTCCTGTTTTAGCTTTACACTGCTGTGCAATGAATGAATTTTACGTAGGTCCAATATAATATTCTACAGCCTGAATAATTGAAACCATTTAATATGGTTATTTGGGTTGTGTAAGACTGCAAAAGACAGGAGAGTAGAGGAATGTTGAGCAGATTGCATGCAATTTTATATAGCTGTATAAAGTTGGATGCTACCAGAGCCATGGTAAGCACTTACTTTGATAGGCAGTGCTCCAGCAACAAATGCCCTTCCATAAATCTTTGTCACTGTGCCACGTTCTGTTAAGTTTATTGGGCTCAGCTCTTTGACTGGAGACATCTGGACTACAACTTCACCACCTCCTTGAGGATAGTAGCCCCTGTTTAAAAACAGTCATTGGCTATAATTAAATGCAATGATCACAAGGAGACCAAGAAAAGGGCCGGGGGCTCTTCATATATTTCACTATGCATTTTTATGTTCCCCGTTCTATGTCACAGTACATACAAATTTTCTTGATGTCTGCCTTAGAAACCCTTATAATGGAATTAGGCTCTTTAACAATAATCCTCTGTAATTCACATCTTATTAACTTTCTAACCCCAACCTAACTGGCTCCTTGGAAAAAGCTCAGTAATGCACTGCCTGTTCAGCATGCCCTCCCCTCAGGGGAGGCAACAGGAAACATTACACAGCAGCTGTAGACTCAGCAATGAAAAAAAAGACAGCAAAGAATCCTATCCCATTCATCATATGGTGACAGTACACACAGGGGCAGCTAATGCAGATTAGTTCATGTATTATAAATTCACCCCTCAGTTTGATTGAGAGCCCCTTGTGTGTGCCTCTGCTCACACACAAGTTCAGTAAAGGCCCAGCTCTGCTGCATGGCTCCACAACTCACCTCCTTTTTATATCACAATTAAATGTGAAATTGAACTTTTCAACTATTGGCTTGAAAACCTGAAAAAGAAACATATAAGAATTAATTTATTTTTGCATTGATAATTTTCCACTACTTAATGAATTCTTAGAAGAAAAAAAATAGCTCAACACAAAAATTTCAGTTGCATTATTAAAATAAAAAAAAGATAGCCAGTCTTATCCATATAGCTTATTTGACATTCCTCATACTTTATTCTCAATATAACTTTGTGTAAAAGGATTTTCTTATGGAAAAAAGAAGAGTTATTCACAGCACTTCTAGAAAAAAGAATACATTTTAAGTAAAATTTTCTGCAGTAAATTAAAACCAAAGAGACTATTTGCCATTTCAGAAATTCCATGAATCACTGGTGTCTCTCTACATCCAGTACACTAATAGTGTTATATTCCATGCCTAATTCCATAATCACAAATAGACTTGCAGTAAGAGCAACAGAGAACAGCAGTTACATTGCATACATATTCAGGGAAGATGCACCAAGGCAAAGGAATTTCTCCCTACCATGACTGTGTAGTCTATCTGAGGAGCCATCTCCGCATTAGTCCCACCTTTTAAATGAAGCTCTGATGGGGAGGCAGCAAACAGCACACAGGGCATTGCTACCTGCATCAGTAGGCACACACTCCTAAAAACAATTATAAGATACTCAAATGCCATACTCTATTAATCCACAAAATTGCATAGAATCATTATATAACAAAGGCAAATGACTCTCTAGAACATTTACTTTTGTATTTTATTTTTTAAATTATCTATAAACTTATTAGTCTTAAAAGATACTACTTTAAAACTTCATGTCCTTAGCAAGCATAAATATGAAAGTTTTCATTTCACAATAATTGCGTCTTTAATATTTCTGTTTGAAATAAAGTTATGTATCTTCCTTAGTATAGTGATGGGACCAAGAAAGCTGTGTTTAGGTAGCAGAAAACGTTTTAATACATCAATGGAATATGTTCCCATTTCCAAAAGACCAATATGGCATACTGTGCTACTATGAATGTAAGTAAAATGTCAAAATTTACCTTATTATATGGCAATTATTTCAGACCTCATGCATGTGAGATACTTATCTAATTTAATGCATTTGGTCTGGTATGTAACACACTAATGTGAGGAATTTACATCTGAAGTTGTAAAGACATGGGCAGCTGCTTTCTTCATAACATGAATCAAGCATTCAGATTTTATATAAATCATACTTTTAAACTTCACGTGTACGTCATGCATATCCTGCCTATACTACAGGTTGTTTGGTCACATAAATCTGGCTCAGGCAGCACATATCCTGGGTCATTACCAAAGCATAAATCTTCTTTCCACCTCCCCCCCATCTATTATGATAATTTTAAAATTATCAGAAGCTGGTGTACAAAGACATACCCTGCTGTTTTTGTATCTGCTATGTGGGTTCCACCTTTGATCTTCCCAGGAGTGAAGGTTATTTCTGTTGAGCCAATCTCTCCACCATTCAGCTTCCCATCACACAAATCTCGAATGATCTCCAATCCAGACAGATGCTGAGGTCTTAGAATGACAATACACAGTTAAAGACACATACAAGTAGACTACATCCTCATGTTACACTGAAACAACCACTAAACACCAACTGAAAAACTACAACTCCAAATTTTGGATCAGACAAGGATCAGAAATTCACTCTGGTTGCTACAGTACTTCTGAGCTCACAGGCGCCAAAGGAGCAGCATTCAGGCCATACTGGGATATGCAGGATTCTGGTATACTTTCCACGAGAATGGACCCAAGAGAGCTGTCTGTGCTATAAGTGCTCGGACAGAAATGCAGTGGGAAATGATGGCAAAACTGGCTGAGCCAGAACCAGTTGCAGTGCTACAAGAGAATTAACAGGTTTGCTATGTACTTGCCTTGTGCTTGTTACCATTTGTTCGTGTAATTTAAACAGGAAATACACCAACTGGTCTTAACACTGGAAATACACGAAGCGTAGCAGCACTAGGATAAGCACTAACTGCTGTTAACACTGTACGCTCGGTAAGCCGTGTTTTGCTCAGGCATTACGCAAGTGTGTTGTCTGTCTCAAACCGCGCTCCGCTCAGCACCCGCGGAACCATCTCCGAGGCAGCGCGGGCCCCGCGCTGAAGGCACCATGCCGCAGCGTTCCCCCTCACTCCTTGTGGGCCACAGAGGGCATTTCCCAGTACAAAGGCTCTTTTAGAGCAATGGAAGCGCAAATGTTTCAGACGAGAGCAGCCGAGGCCTTGCGCGGCCGTGCCCCAGCCCCGGAGGGCCCACACGCCGCAGTGACCGGCGGAGCGCCCCGGGACCGCCGGAGGGTCTCACCTGAGGCCGGGCTGGCTCCGCCCGGCGCGGATCCGGCGCACCCGCAGCGGCAGCCCCAGCAGGCAGCTCAGCGCCGTGGACACCCGCAGGATCTGCCCGCCCTGCACGGACAAACGGCGCTCGTCAGGCGCCACGGCACCTCCCGGCCAGCCCGTACAGCTGACCGGGGCCAGGTAAGCCGCGGCCCGCTGGCGCTCACCCCCTCCATGATCCCGCCGTCTATCTCCACCCTGTCCCCGTCCATAGCTGGCGAGGAGCGGCGTCTCTCGCAGAGGCCGCGCCGATGGGATCCCGGCGGGGCCCTAACCACGGCGAGCCCTCGGCGAAGCAGCCGCGGGGCCAGGAGCGCTTGACGGCGGCGGGCCCGGGATGCTGCGGTACGGGTGCGGGGGGCGGGCGGCGGCGCCGGGCAGGCGCGGAGCGGAGGCGCCGCCCTGCCCGCCCGCCGCGGGGAGGAGCAGCCGGCGGGCCCGGCGCTCAGGCAGGGGCAGGAGTGCCTCCGTTATCCCCGCGGTACTGACCGCGTCCCGCAGGAGGCAATGCCTTTCCCTTGTCCTCAGGGCCGGAGCCCTAACAACCGCGGCACCTGGGAGATCAGAGCCATGGGTACAGCGCTGCCGCGGAGGAGAGCTGCCCTCCTCGTTATGAGCTAATTTCCTCAGAATCACAGAATGAATTAGGTTGTAAAAAACTTCTGAGATTATCAAGTCTACCACCATGCCAGTCAGACCATGGCACTAATTACCACGTCCAGTCTTTTCCTTAAACACCTCTAGGGTTGGTATAACCACCAGCTTCCTGGGCAGCCCGTTCCAATGTCTAATCACCCTTTCTGTGTGAAGACAGTCTTCCTACTGTTCAACGTAAACTTTCCCTGGTGAATCTTAAGACTATGCCCTGCCGCTTGTCACCTGGGACCCCAAGCTGGATACAATCACCTTTCGCGCAGAACCACAGACACGGGCGTGTAGGTCTGGCAGGCGCACGCAGCACTTTATTACACGTGTATGGGGAAAGGCCGGGCTCTCGGCGCTGCCCTTCCCGGGACCGGCACCCGCGGCTCGGGCCCGGGAGCCCCGCGCAGGGCGCGGTCCCTCCCGTGGGCGTGTGTGGGCCCCGAGCGCCGCGCCGCGCGCTCCTGGTTGGCCGAGGCGGCGCGGCCGCCGCGGGTTGGCTGTGCCGGGGGTGTGTGCGGGGCCGCTCTGCCCGGGGTAAGATGGCGGCCGTGACCGCGCTGAGGAGCAGCTGCCGAGCCGCGGGGCGCCTGGTAAGGGGAGCGGGGACCCCGCGGGCGGCGGCGCTCCTCCCGCGGCCGGCCGGGGAGGGAGAGATAACTCTTGGCATCCCCGAGCCCTGTTCCTGCCGGCGGGCACACGGCGCGCACCGCGCCTCTGCAAACGCGGCGCGCTGGCGGACCTGTCGCCTCGGCAGTGTGCGGGGCCGGGCAGCGACTCAGCTCCGTCCCCGCTGTGCGCTCCCCGCGGTGACCGAGTCCCCGGCTGTGCCCCGCGCTCCACAGGCACCCCGAAGTGGCACCCTCTCCCCCCGCGCTGCCCGTGCTCCCTGTGAAAGAAACTTGTGCCTTTCTGTAATATGACAGTGACATCCTCCTCTTCTGTTATTTCTAAGTCATCCCGTTATTGCTTTGCCTAAGCGTTGCTCTGCCATCACCGCTTCGCCCACGCATCAGCTCCCTTTGCATACCGCATCTGGACGGAGACGGTGTGGATACACGTACAAAAAAGGAAAACGTATTTCTTTGAATCCCAGGAGCCTTGATACTTGAAAAGTACTTGAGATTCTTTACCATAAGAAGTGAATCTTCTTGGTTGCCTTTTTGAGATACTTACAATTTCATGGCCGTAGACTTCGTTCATGCTTTCTTCTGTCTTGCATTACAGTCTTCTTGCTATTGTGAAGAGCATTGGTTTCCTATTATGTCACCCCTATTTTGTAGGATGTTAGAAAAGAAATAATTTTTGACATTTAGAGACAAAATTAAGGATCAGTTCCAGTTTATAGTATGTTTTTCTCTTACTAATTCATATTGTAATTTTAAAGCATAATGCTAAGGAAGTTTTAAATTATACTTTTGTAAGGCAGTTTACAGCCAGTAACTTATAAGTATTTATAAATAATTTTACTAATTAAGAGCACTGAAATTAGCATTTTCTTTTAAATTGTATTTCTAACCTTCTACTCTTAAATCTGGAGAGAGATTCTGATAAGATGAAAACACTCATCTTATCTATGTGCATGCTGAACTGTAGAATTGGCTGGTTTGTAGTGTGTGTTTCCTGCAAGCACATTTTGAATCTGAGCCAGGGCCTTTGTTTGAAGTGGTAGGGAAATGGCAGGTACCTGGACACCGGGACATGTGCCAGGTATTTAGATGAGGGATGGCATCAGATTAAAACACATTACCAGGGATGTTGCTTTAGTATATAGGTAACTATATACTTGGAAATATAGAATATGTATGCAAAACACATCCAATGTGAGAAAATGTTCATTAAAATGACTCAGTGGGACAGAAGTCAAGAGAGTTCAGCAGGGCAATATCCTTTAATGCAAAGTTATTGCCTGTGACCATGAACTGTTCAATTTTACTTGGAAATTTAGTGTTACTCCCTCAGTTAATCAGTTCTCTTCAGGCTGCTTAAAAATACTTTGGTCTGAGGCCAACATACAGGATCAGTGGTAATTTAGAAAACCGGAGTTGGCTTGTTTTTAAGGAAACAAAGCTGAACCTGAGAGGGAAGGCAGTTGTCCCCCTGAGCGCCCTCAGCTCCCCCTTGGCTGGGGTCAGAGCACGGCTCTGTCAGCCAGGCTGGTGTGGCCTCAGTCCCAGCGAGGGTTTGACTGGGACCTCAGCTCCTTTATGCCAGAGTCACTCTACACACTGGAGACGTGCACAGGAAAGCTGTTGCCTTGCTGTGGCAGTATTGCCTTTAAGTTGCTGTTTAGTCTAACAATAGCCAGGTTAACAAGCTTAGTATAGCATTTATGTTTGGGGTTTACTGATAGATTTTTCCAAACATCAAAATATTTAGATGGGTATACTATGGATATTAGAGCTAATTTTGTCTTTTATGTGCCATTTTTATTTCTTTGTTTGGCATTACACCAGTATTATGGTGATTAAATGCTGAAATTGTAAGCACAGTCTCTTTGTTTAATGGATTATAATTTTTTCCTTGTTGGTAAGGAACACTGCTCTGTGAGAAGATTGTGTCCTGTATTATTAGTTTAACATACTAGCACATCAGCTTTTTGGTAGAGAATGTGCAAAACTGAAAACCAGAAAGATATTGTTTTAAAAAATGCAATAGTTTTTAATTATTCCTTCAAATATAATATAAAACAGCATGGTAACTCTTTAATAACAACACCAAGTCTCTTTTTTTGGCAGTGACATTACTAATTCACTACCTGCATTGGTAACCAAAGGTTAAAAATCACATGGAAATCATTGTGAAACTTCACATTTAGAAATAGTTCAGAGATTTGATGTGCTCCTTGTGATCATCTTCAGAGGTAAATACTGAATGTTTTTCATTTAGGGTCATATAAAGAGAAAAGAGAGTTTTTGCAAGTTTGTGACAAAAACGTCTAGTTGAACAGTTTTTTCAGTAAACATTAAAATGTAACCTTCAACTGGGAAGAAGCCCAGAATTAAAAATAGAAGAAAAATAAGATTGTGAAGATGTACACTGTATGCCAGTTTTGTAATTAAATGTAAACTTTAAACATATTCCTAAAGTACAATTTTTCATAAAATTGCCATGTTACTAGGTTGTTGAATATGGAAAGTTGTTTGGAGGACCAATGAAAAGATTTTCTATTTGCTTGTTATGGGAATGAGAAAAATACTCATACTAGATCAGTAAGTACCATCTTAGTGGCAGGCAACTGAAAGGTAATTCAAATTATATAACTTTGTTGTGTCCACCATGATAGACTGTGTTGTATAAAGATTTGTTTCTTAAAGAAAGGGGATATTGAATATAACTTGCAGTGCTGGGTTAAATAATACAGAAAATGAGTACATTGTCAGTTCAGAATTGTATGGCCTGCTGAATAATGTACTTTTAAAATAATGAAAAATGATAGCAAATAGTTGAACAGTTTGGGGTGTGGGGAGGGAAACAAGAAATTTCATATACTCTGTAATTACTGAAAGGATTTTTTTAAACAAGAAGTTAAAATTAACTTTCCCATGCAGGTATGCTGTTTTCTGGCTCCTCTAAGAAGATAATTTCTAAATTTTACAGTTTTGAGCTACTTGAGGTACATTGTAGCACCTGAATTTTTTTCATATCTCTAAATTAGTTAGAGATAGTATCTACAGAGAAATTGTTATTTTTATAGATTTTACAGTACTCTTAAGACAACATAACACCAGAATTACATGAAATTGAATAAGTTTACTGGATAAGAACATGTCTGAACTAACTTGTGTTGAAATTAATAAAATACCTGTTTATGTCAATGCAAGCACTGCCATCTTTGCTTATGATCACAATCATGACTGATTACAAGATGCTTTAAAGCTTAAAGTTTTGTCTGAAGAATCTTTCAGAAAAATCTGTAGACCCTTTAAAACTTGTTTCTGGATAAATATAATTGTAACCATAAAAGACAACCATCTCATGGCCAGTTCTTACAAAATATCATTGAAGCTGATTTGAGATGATGTTTACTTGAAGACGATTGCCACCTATACAGGAACAAAAATGAAAGGGCAACTCTGGGCCCTCTGGTATGAATTTCCTTTCTGATTAGTACTTCTGATCAATTTCTGTTGGGACAAATATGCTGGTTTTCCATGCAGTCTAGGGAAACCTTCCAGCATTCATCCTGGATAGGAATATTTCAGATGTCTGATATGGTTGATAGTGAGCGTACTTTTTGTGTGCCTGTCCTGATTAAGCTAATTCATGAGAGAAACAATAGCAATGAATCACTCACCAAATCCTGTCATGATTTTTGTTAATTGGTTGTGTCACTGTGGCTTTGATCTCCCCGTGTGTTGTGTTAGTGAAAGAAGCTAAAAACTGGCAAAGCTTTGGCTAGTGTAAAGGGTACTGTATGTTCAAGAATGCATTCAGTGTAATTGTGTTCCATAAGAACTTCTCTTATATTGACCAGAATGAAACTATTTTAGTATGACTGTTACATGGGGAATATTAAATGAGCTCTACCTCCACTATATTAACCCTTGAGATTTTCTCCCCAGGTTTGCATTCATCGCGTTAGATCGTGCAGCAGCATTCGCTTTATAAAATCAAAATATGTGTGCGTGTTTGACAAATCTGCCCTCAAGTTTAGTCATCAACAGCGATTATTCAGAACATCTGCTGGTAATCCTTTTCATAATAAAATAATTTATTTTATTTTGCTATTTTATGAGTGTTGTGTTAGAGGTTTGCATATGGCTGCTATGCAGATTTTTTCTCATGCATTCAGATTTTTCTCTCTGGTAGCTTGTATTGAATTTTAAACATGCTGTATTTTTTTATTGTCTGTTTCAAGTTTCATGTGGCCAAATTGTCCAGTTTAAGCTTTCTGACATTGGAGAAGGAATTACAGAGGTGACTGTAAAAGAATGGTAAGCTCTGCTTTCCTGGAAACACACTAAGAAATCAGCAGGTAGTTTAGCAGCTTTATCTATATGACCATTGAGTTATGTGAGAATAGTTTTTGGTTTACTAGTGAAGTTTTTCAGGTTTCATTTTGCACATTTTAAAACATTATACATACTGAGCTTTTTATTTTGTTTGTTTGCAGTCTCATATGTTTGTGATTGGAAAAATTGGAAGGAATGGGATGCACCTGTATATAGGCTTCTCCTTCACTGATTGATGTGTTTTGAGTTCAGGAGGCCTGTCTTTTGTTATTTTTACTTACACTTACTTAGCTTTAGAAACTTTACTTAGCTTTGGAAACAAATGGTTAGCCTAAAGAATCCACATAATTTTATCCTGTACCCCTCCTCTGTTGCTTTTAGTAAAGGATTTGAACTTCTAAATTGTTTGTAAAAAGCCAGTGATGAATGGATTAAACAAAATCAAAGTGTACATGAAGGAAGGCAGTGCTGAAAAGCCTTGTTCTTTGTACAAATACCTCTTTGCATGGAAAACAGTATTCCCTACTATCCATTTCCTTTCTGAAACTGATAAGTATATTGACAAGTTGAGACCAACAACTTCCTTGCATGGAGATTAAGTTGGGTTCATTCTTATATTTAGATGCTTTATAATCTGACAGGAAAACTCTGCTTTAATAAAGTAAATGTAATATGTGTGTAATGATATTCATAATAATTTTGTCATTTCACCCAACAAAGAAGTCTGTGGCAGTCAGACAAAATGCATGTAGCAAACATAGCCAGTATGCAGAATTTGTTTTCTCATCTGGAATGAATTTCCTTGTTGTGGGATGTGTATTACTGAACTTACCAGAGGAACAGAACAGGTTTTTACACTGGCTGTCTTTGCTCCCAGGTACATAAAGGAAGGTGACAGCGTATCTCAGTTCGACAGCATCTGTGAGGTGCAGAGTGATAAAGCCTCTGTTACTATCACCAGTCGTTACGATGGCGTCATCAGAAAACTCCATTACAGCATAGATGATATTGCTTTTGTTGGAAAACCACTAGTGGACATTGAAATTGATGCTTCAAAAGGTATTGTAAGCCATTTTTTTTCTCATGCATATTTTATGTTTGTTGTCATAAAACAATCAGTGGCAGAGAAGCTTACTTTTTCCTCCTGAAAATCTTCAAAGATTTTTTTCCCTTTATAAAGTCAAGAAATTTGAATAGAGAAAGCTGTGATATTTATTAGAGTTTAAAATCTCCTAGACATTTCCTCTTGAATATTTAACTTAAGCAGCAACCTTTAGCAAGCTGTGTTCCCATCCACATTAACTCAAAGTAAATCATAAAAACTTTAGCTGTCACAGAATGGTTGACTTGGGAATTAACAAATGCTTATAATATAATAAAGTTAATTTTTTCTTTTTGTTTGCAGGTGTTGCCTCAGAAGAAGATGTTGTTGAAACACCTCCTATGTCTCATGAAGAGCACACTCACCAAGAGATAAAAGGTCACAAAACATTAGCAACCCCTGCAGTTCGTCGCCTGGCCATGGAGAACAATGTAGGTTTGCTGAATAAGGTCCTGCTGCATTTTACCCAGCAGTTTGACTGATTAGAAGAGCACTGATCTAGAGGAAACACTTGTTTTCAAATACATTTTACATGTGTGAGAACTGCTGTAGAAATGAAGAGGGCTGTGCTTTCTGATGGTTATGGTGAATAGAAAAAGAATTGCTGGGCTGAAAAGACAGCTAGGAGGCTTTAGGCTGAAGACAGAGAAAACCTATCTAGAATGAAAATAAGAAACTGTCAAAGGAGATTCCTGAGAATCTCTACAGAGAACATAGGAGGGAAAAAGAAAAAAAAAACACCTTGTTTTGCTTTTCAGATTTGTATTAGAGCAGAGGATATACTAGGTGATGTATTGCATGCCTTTTTTGCCCTATGAATATTCCATTCATTTTGAAAGCTCATGATGCATTTTTAGGACAGAATTAAGTGACAAATAGCTTTTCTCAAATTAATATTTCACTACTGATCCTGTGAAGTAATTAGGAGGGTAACAGTATTCATAATTCCTCCTTGAAGTATGCAGTCAGATACCTAGTGGGACTTTTGGATGATTTGAACTAAGTTGAATACCTAATAAACTATAGAAAGAAACAAAAAACTGCAAATATGTTGGATCAGAAATGGGAATAATTTTTAACCATAGCTCACAATATAAGGTATTTTTATGTTGCTGTAAAACTAAAGTATCACTGCTTGTTATGTGATTTTTAGATTAAATTGAGTGAAGTTGTTGGGACAGGAAAGGATAATAGAATCCTTAAAGAAGATATACTCAACTACTTGGCCAAACAAACAGGAGCTATTTTGCCTCCATCACCAAAGGCTGAAATTGTCCCACCTCAGCGGAAAGCAGAGACTGTGCCATCTGCTCCAAAGGACAAAGCACGCAAAATCCCTGTGCCTGTTTCCAGACCCATTGCATTTTCAGAAAAAGATAAAACTGAACCCGTAACAGGTAAATCATGAAATATAAAGTCTTGAGACCACAGTCACAGTAGACTACCAGTACCTGTTGCTCTGTGAGTAGCTGATTCCTTTTGATGGGAGTGTGTTTCATGTGATTGTTATGCAAGTGAGCATTTAGGAAAACACTCTGTACAAAGCATATCTGCTGAAATTATTTCATGAAATATTTGTTCATGTTTTGGTTGGATCGAGTTGGGCTGCAAATTGTACTTGCTCATTCTTCAAGTGTATGTTGAAACAGGTAGGAGGAATTCTAAACATGGATTTGTCATGGTAGCAATCATTATGCAATTAGTGGCAAAGTGCAGTGAATTTAAGGGTTTATCAGTGCTTAGTAAAAGCATACTGCACTATTATGTGTGACATTCACACCTGTTTTGGAGAACAGTGCCATAAAAGACACTAAGGTAACAAAAAAATCACATTACAAGAGGAAGATTAAAGTTTTTTGCTTGCCTTCCAAGCAGTGTTTATTTGGAGAGGCTGGAAAGCGTAATGCAGATTATCATATTATGATTTCAAATTTATACATGCATAGGCGAGAGATGCAGTAATATAATCTGAAGTATTACAGTCTTCAAAATTGAGTTCTATGAACCAAATAACTCAGTAAGTGCTCTCTACCCTGTTCTTCTTTGGTTATGCTTTGGCTTTGGTTTGGTTTTTGTAAGTTGTGTAATTTGGTTAATGGAAACAGATGAAATTTCTGTTCACTTACTGTCCATAACTTCACAGAAGGTCATTTTGTTGGTTTAAGAAGACAATGAATATTTTCCAGGTTTTCAGAAGGCCATGGTAAAGACTATGAGTGCAGCCCTAAAGATCCCCCACTTTGGTTATTCTGATGAGATTGATTTGACTCAACTCGTTCAGCTGCGAGAAGAGCTGAAACCTCTTGCTGAAATCCGTGGAGTTAAGCTTTCCTTTATGCCTTTCTTCATAAAGGTGAGGCATGCAGCAGAGCCCTGTATGGAGTACTTACACAGGTTTTGCCAAAATCTGTTAAATGATTGTTGTAAGTTTGGAGCACCTCTCTATCATCTGAGTTATGGCAGATCACAGGAAAACTGTTTTTTTTGTTTATTGAGCCACATAGCAATTTACAGTTGGAACTGCAGCTAGAGTTATGTAATGTCACTGAAATTTTTTGAAATATTAATGGGAAAGGATAGAGTGCCTTCAGCATAATTTAATATGGAGGTAAGCATCACCAGGTGTTTGAATTGCACAAAGCAAGTTTTCAAAATTGTCAGTGTTTTTTGAGCTCATATGAAATGCATCATGGTTCTTGTTGGTGTTATTATTATAATTTTTGTATTGCTGATGAATCCCTTAGGTCACTGACTGTTGTCCCTTCTGTTGTTCAGAAAAGCAGGCAGTTGCACTCATGTGCAGTGGATGTACAGACTAATCTGGTAATGCTATTGCACTCAGAGTGCTACCTAAACACCCATTCCATATTGTTATAAATCTAAATTTTCTCTTACTATTGCCTCTTTTGCATGGAACTCTCTGCTTATAAAATATAAAAACCTATTTTGTCGTCTTTTGTTATATTTAACAGGCAGCCTCTCTGGGATTGCTGCAGTATCCCATTCTTAATGCTTCTTTGGATGAGAACTGTCAAAATGTCACATATAAGGTTTGTAAACTATGGATGAATGTTGTGTGCAGAAAGTGAAAAGTAATGTCTAACAGGAACCTTTCAGAATGTCTGAGCTAATTATAAGAACCAATATTATGGTGTTGTGCAGGCTAATAATTAGTGTGTTCAGATTCTGAGATCTAGATTTGATTTATTGTTCATCTTATTTCAGTAGTTTGTTAGGTAAGAGTCACTTTATTATTCAGACTTGCCTCAAAAATGCATATTAATAACTTAATTTCCTATTTTTCACCTGGATATGGGTCATGCTTTTAAAATGAGAATATTTCAAATATAATACAACAATTTTTAGGGTTTTTTGTGCATGGTAGTTCAGCTGTTCCAACACTCAACCCTTATATATTAAAGTACAGTCTTGATAAAACTTATATAGTTTTTATACAAGCTGCTGGATTGATACTTCTGGGAAACAAGTATCTATTTTCTTAAGTGGTGTGTACTTGCACCTTGCAGTGCGTACTTTTTTTGTGCTGTTTTATAAGTATCTCTCAGGATCCTTATATTCCTTTCAAAAAATGAAAAGCAAGTGATCTCAGTGATAAGAATGTTAGCTAAGGTCATCTGTAATGGAAATGGAACACGGTAGTCTCCATTTGTTGCAGAGAAACTGCATAGTTCATGATTGAAAAGTTTGTGGTGTTTTTAGATGACTATGCACACACCAAATTTCTTTTTTTTTCTTTTTGATTTCTGTGTTCACTTTAAAATATGCTATTTATGTTTTGTTACACATATGATCATCCTAAAGTGCAGTGTTTTCAATGTGAAGTTGATTCCAGGACTTTGTATTCTCTGAAAGTGGAATTATCAACATCAATTTGCAGTTTGCAAATGTGAGGCTAATTTAAATAAAATTATATCCTTTTCTTCCCTCAAAGTTGTATGCAGGAATGCTTACTAAATACAGCACTTTCCAGGTAAAAAAGATAAATAAGGAAAATGTGACTGAAGTAGGTTTTTACGTAAAATACATTTTAAGTTGACAGCTTATATTAATGTGTGGTTAATGGCACTTGCTACAGGCTTCACACAACATTGGAGTTGCAATGGACACAGAGCAAGGTTTAATTGTCCCAAATGTGAAAAATGTTCAAGTCTGCAGTGTGTTTGACATTGCTGTGGAATTAAATCGCCTCCAGTCCTTGGGCTCTGCAGGCCAACTGGGAACAAGTGACCTCACTGGGGGAACATTCACCCTTTCGAATATTGGCACAGTAAGTACAAGGAAAATGGGAGCTGCTTCTGAAATCTTCTTCTGAAATGCAGTTTTACTGAAGTTTAATATGCGAAGAAGAAAATCTGTAGCAATTAATTCAAGAGGCAATCTGCTTAAAAAAGTTGTTAAATAATATCCCCACCTTTTTCTTTTCTAGATTGGTGGCACTTATGCCAAACCAGTGATACTACCTCCTGAAGTAGCTATTGGAGCATTTGGAAAGATACAGGTATATTAACTTTATCTCAGTGATGAGAGTGTTAGCTAAGGTCATCTTAATGGAAATGGAACATGGAGTCTACCTTTGTTGCAGAGAAAATGCATAGCTCATGACTGAAAAATTTGTGGTGTTTTTAAATGACTATGCACACACCAAATGTTTAATTAGAAGTCTCTTACACTAAAGGTTCATATTTATTTTCCAGAATCCTGTTATATTTCTCTCACATCTATGTTTAGCCTTCGGGTTAGTAAGAAACAATATAAATACAGTTTTACAAATTTTGCAACACGACAATAACAATTTTGCTATCAGCAGGGAGAAAACTTGAGAAATATTATGAAAATGAATTTTAATTTCATAAGCCAGGTAGCTGAATTCATAGAGAATTTTGGATGTGAAGGCAGTTTTATATTTCTGTATCTCAGGCTTTAAATCTTTAGTACAGACATTGGAGTTCAGTGCTGGAAATTAAATTAGTATTAACTGAAATTATTTCTATGTTCTTCCTCTAAGCATTTTTTAGAGGTGCTTTAAGGAAACTGCCACTTTGAGAGCTAAGAGTGCAATAAACTATTCAGGAAGAAACTTTGGAGTCAGGAAAAGCTTTTACTACTTCAGTGTTTCCATGATGGTGGAAATAGGCTATGATTGTTTATTACACAGGCTTGCAGTATATTCTGATCCATAGCACAAACAGTAATGGAAAAGTCTTGGTTTTTAGTATGGTGTTGCTGCTGTCTAATTCAGCAAAATGTTTTAATTTAGATCAACAAATTAGCAAGAAAAAAAAGCAGATTTGCTAATGAAAGTATTCAATTTAATAATTCTGGTTTTGTCCTTCCTCTGATTTTTAGGTTCTTCCTCGGTTTAATAGCAAAGGTGAAGTAATTAAAGCACAAATAATGAATGTGAGTTGGTCAGCTGATCATCGCATCATTGATGGAGCTACAATGGCCCGATTTTCTAACTTGTGGAAATCTTACTTGGAGAACCCTGCTTTGATGCTGCTGGACCTTAAATAAAGGAAATCATGACTAGAATATGCCTTTAAACACCGTGGATTAGACTGAATAGTTATAAAAGCTTTCTCTGCTAACATGTGCCCTTTGCTACGTGCATTATATAATAATGTTATGTGGCTGAAAGTTCTCAACAGCTGATATCAGTCTCAATTAGTTGTTGCTTCTTTCATTTTGTATTGCTGTAATTTCATCTACAGCAGACTGTCAAACTGAATAGGTCACAGCTTCTGAATACAGTGGTGGTGGAATGTCTTTATTTTGCCTTTTATAATAAGAATGATTGTCAGGCTGGTGTGACTGAGTGCCACTACTCTACACCTGCAGTATATATAATCTGAAGGGAGATTTTGGAGGGGAATACTCATAGTACTTCTATTTTGAACACATAAATTTATTTTAACAAATAATATCTGAATTCCTAAAAGGGATTATACAAAAATCATATACAAATAAAATGCCTTTAATGCTTCTGCTGTAAGATGTCCAGAGAGCTTTTTGTTGTTTAACTGAGTAAACCTCTTAAGTCTTTTGCTAGTTCACTTTATCTGGCAATTACTTGCGCAGGTACTCTTTATCAAACTATAAATGAAGAGGCCATATTTATTCAAATGCTTTCTGACAACACTGATTGATAACTATAAAGGCCTTAATACTCTCTAGAATATCCTGTATTTTTAAAGGCTGAAAGTAGTTTCAGTCGTTAACACTTTCCAGTTATTTTTAATTCTTATAGAAAGCATCTGTCTTAAAATGAAATGAGAAAGAGAAAACAAAAAAAGAAGGATCTTGTTTTATTATTCTGTCACTAGGTAAGCCTGATAGTAAGGTGCTGATGAACTAAAGCTTGCATTCTGTTACTGATATTCAGATACTAGAATCTGATAGATTAATCAGATTCAAAGAAGAATGGATGTTAAAAAATACTGTGAGATAAGGACTTCTTAAACTCAGATACAAGGCACATAATGAATAGGTTCAAGTTAATGCCTTTAGAACAGAAAACTTACGTGGCTTTAAGGTAAAATAAACAGATCATGAAGATTGCACTGCTGATTTAATGGGAGATATGAAGAAAACTGTTGCATACAAATACCTTCACACAGTCATGAGAAAAGACAGTTACCTACCCTTAAAAATGAATTTGCAATGCACAAAATGGACATTTTCTCCTTTTTTTAGATATATCAAAAACAGGAGCATTCTTCAAAATGGTAGACCAAAATTGTCTATTGCATTTAGCTGTGAAGATGTGAGACAGGCTACCAGAGGTAGAATCCCTGCTATCCATCATGCTGAGACTGAATAAGAGAAAAGCTGGTAATGTACGAAGGGGAGTGTGGCGCATCCATGTAAGGTGCTATTAATATTTCTATTGTGGTATAAGGGTCTTTTATATAAAAGTAATTTCTTGCAAAGTTTAACTGTTATATCATGCTTATCACGTATTTCATTTTTATCAGATTTATTTATTCCTAATAAAACTGTAAAGCCACAAAATATTGGTTTTTATTTGTGAATTTTATGCAGGCAATCCCATATGGGTGACTCAAACTCTTTCTTCTTGCCTTAAAAAAACATCCTGTACTCAAGGCTACTAGAAGAACACAGCCTAATGTCTACTTCCCTACAAGTATATTGTTGTGGTAAGGGCTTAGTCTAAAGGCTTAGGATATTTTTTAATCTGATGATGATTGAGAAAATAAATTGAGGAAATATAAGTGTATGAAAGAAAACAATAAAATTGCTTTGAAATACTTAAGACAGAATCAAGGAGAAGATTGAAAACTAAAGTACTTAGTGTCTTTTTAAGTAGGTAATGGTATTAATGTATTTAGTTGTTTGTGGACTAGAGATGGTTGGGTTTCTTTGTTATAAAGTTCTGTGTGGTAGAGTTATAACCAAATTAATGATGCTTTTAAAATTTTATCTTCATGTTTTATACTCCAGCTCAATTGGTTTGAACTATCCCTGTGTCAAATAGTGACCTTGTAGCTATTGTTGTCTCTGTTCCCATTTGATTGAAGTAAAAGATTCTGACAGACTTGCTCTCCTTTTATCTTCTCCAAGGGCTATTTGAAGAAATAGAATGTTAAAATATGTTTCATAATTGGAACCACGAAAAGGGGTGAGTAATAACCCCTCTGCACATCTTGGTAAAGATTACTTTTCTTTCTGAACTTTGAAAATTTGCAGTAAAATTCTTCAGCAAGAGAATTCTTCAGCATTGGCAAAAGTAATGAGTAAAATACTTAGTGATGTAATACCTTTTCTTGTCTGTTTAGTCAATTTTGCTGTTTAATAGCACTTTGAAGCTCAGTTACCTTACAGAGAAACATTTCTAAAGAAAGCAGTCATTTTTAATCCAATACTGGCCTTTGTTTCTAATTGTCATTTTTAGTTCAAAACAAACTTATTGTGTAGCATAACAATATTCCTTTGTTCTTCTTTGTTCACAATTTCTGATAATGGGAGTCCAGTTTAGGGGAGCCCAGTCACACTCAGCAAACTTAGACTTCAACAGTGGTAAATGCTTTGGGGGGTTGCAAAAGTGCCTCATGTGATGCCTTCTATTCTCAGCATAGGTTAAAATTAGAACTAGACTGACATTGCACTGGAGTCTGAGTGAGAGTTTTAAATGGCTTTGGTAATGCAGACAAGATTCATAATTTATCTCCGCTCTTGTCCAGAAAGCAATGAGTCACAGAAAATCCTTGAAAACACCAAGTAATTAAGGTAAGTTGTTGTTAAACTCTTTCTAATGCTTGGAGGTGAAGTTGTTGGGAGATCTGATTACTTGGGATGAATTTGTAGTTGTTTTACAGCCACACTTGGGAATTAATTTCTGAATTGTTGTCTGTAATGGCAAGATTATTATGGTTTTTATTTTCTCGATGAATAATAAGACCTTTTTGATGGAATCCTCTTATATAATGAAATCCTGAAAATAGTTGTATTCTTAGGTCCTTTGATATTTCATGGTTCTAGGGCAGTATTTGTTGAATGGTATGCAAAAGACAGTTGTCCAGAGTAAGCTTTACTAGAAATAAGTATTGGTTTGACTGCACAGTATGATACTGGGTTTGGTAGTACAACTATTAACAAATGTCTCTTTTCTGCACAATTTATATGAAAAGATTTCTAGTTTTCTAGCTAAAAGGGCTTGTAGTTCAAAAAATATCTTTAAACAACAAGAAATGATAGATTAGTTAATCACTTGATCTCAATAGAAATTTAAACTTGAAAAAATCTGGCAATTTGAATTGTAACCACTAACTGGAGCAAAGAACCTCATGCATGCATAGCATTACTGTTGCATGTTGAGATGGGGACTGGGAAGGGTAGTTATTCTGACCACTGAAAGAGGAGCTAATCCTTCAAACTAAACTAGTAAATGTGATCACATTTACGTGGGGGAGGGAAAAAGTGTACAGTCCTATCTTGAGAGGAAAAAATCCAATTCCTCTATAGGAACCCAAAGGCCAGACTGAACTGCCAGGCTGGAGTTGCCATTTGTGTCACTTGTCAAATCCTGCCATTTCTCCTTAACAAACAGAGAACACATAAGAATCATAAATATTAATGTATTAGACCAGATTCTTCTTTATTGAAGCTTTATAATTTGATTTTATGCTCTCTTTACAACAGAAAGCAATCCTGATATTTTACATTTTATTTGCCTACACATTTTAACTTAATTTCAGACTTTACAAATAAGTATGTTGGCAAAAGTCATAGTAAACATAAAATAGAATGATATTGCCAAATGAACATAAAAATGGTCACTAAGCAATTGTGGCTTATCCAGGGCCACACAATATTATAACAGAAACAAATATGAAAGAAAAAATTGGTTCTAAAAGACAGACCTGCAGCAATTATTGTAGGGAAATACATGTATGAAAAGACATGAAATTCCTCTTTTGTTACCTACTTGCTTGTTTGGAAGAAAGTTATTCTTACTTTTTTTAGTTTAAAGCATATATAGGACATTTTTCTTACTTGCCACTACAAGTATCAGTAAAAACTTAGAAAGGGAGCATTCAGATCATCAGTGTTCAGAGTACACTGCTGCTGGTTTGAAGTTTAGCCCTGTAAGCTTATCTGAATAGCAGTATCTTGGCTCCAGTAATGGCAATAAGAATGATTTTTAGAGGGATGCAGCTATTAGGATGAGTGAGTATCCTATTTTGCTGCTCTTCAGGACAATAGATATTAATTATCTCACTAAAGGATACATTATTTCAAAACTTTAGACTGAGTTTAATTTCACATGTGAATTCTGACGCTCAGTAGGGATACACAAACATTCAAAGAGAAATCAGAAGGATTTAAATGCATTTTCCTAAAGGTAATGCATTGCTAACTATAAAATGCATTGTAATTAATTAAGCTATGAAGAAAATGAATGCAAATGAAGTATACTAATTAATTTCAGGAACAGTTCCGTTTCTATAAAGTGCAAAACTCCTTTTGTGACAAGTATTAAATCAGGTAGGTGTCAGAATGCAGCTATCAGAATTGAACTGCCTTAGATTGCAGGTAACAGTTTAATGCCTGGGATGGGAACAAATGCACAAATCTGCATTTAATAATTATGGTCCACACTTAGCCTACCACTGAAGGAACTGAGAGAAGCTGTTGTTCACTGAATAAGAATGCAGAGTTTGCAAAAATACCATTTCTTACTATAATAAAATGTAACTAGGTGCAATTATCTATTTTTATAAAGAGAAAGCAGTTGATAAAATCCTGTCTGTTCTCTATATTAAGTCATTTGATAACATAGTGAAGTTGGTATTGCAGTATTTTATTTTTCATGTCACTGTCTCCATCTGGTAACCCATATCTGAAGTAGTACATTGAGCCTGAAATTTAGTCAGATTCCTGCAAGCAAATCTGAACATGTAAAGGATCATGGCTGAAACTGCAGTTTGCCTGGGAACATTCTCTGCTGTGAAGACACTCTGGGAAGTGAGAATACACAAGATAAATGAAGAATTACAGAAAGAAAAGGAATTCAGGCAGAGGTCTGCAGGAAGGTAGGTAAATTGTAACTCTTTAAGTATGTGAAAAGCCAGACATTATGTTACATTTCAGAAGACTATAACTGGTTTCTTCAAACTCATGCAGGCTCCATTTCTTAGTTGTTACTCCAGCAGGATTCCCTGTGATTAGAATTTATCTAGTGTCTATTATAAAAATATTAGTATATAGATTAAATCCCCTGTACTCAGATAGTAAAATCCTCTGCTCTGTAATTATTCTAACCAGTAAAGATATATTATGCTTTCTTCTCCATTGAGGTATTAACAGGGTTGCTTGGTCTTCTATCTGGCCAGCAATTTTATGAAATTTTAAGAGATTTAGAATTCAATTTTTGGTACTCCTAATTTATCAGATGTGTTTGAAGTGGAACAGCAAACTCAAAAGTTACTCAATATAAGCAGAAAGAAAGAGAATGACCTTGTCATAATTCTTGTACAGGTCCCCTTTGGCAAGCAAGCTTAAAGAAGCTGATTGATCTATTTTCTTGCACTTATATGTGGTGGACTGGAAGGCTTTAATTTTAGGAGTCTGCTTGATAATGTGCTTTAGAACTTTATTCCACATGACTTTATATTCTGTGGCCCTGCTGCAACATGGTGAAAGTGAATGTAAATTTGAAGAAGCGTAAAATAGAATTCCTGTAAATTAACCTCAGCCAAACATTAAGGGCTTTTTTTCTCCCCAACTCATAGTATATTAACATCCAGATAAAATTAAGGTTATTTAACAACATGGTGTTTGTCTCTTTTTCCAGAAAATAGATAGGATAGTAATTATTGGCTGTATTTGTTGTGGCACCACTGGCAGATCTTTTTTCCCTTGTAGGCTACTGCTTGTCTGGGAGGAGAGAGCTGCTTTAGCAAAGCTCAAAGAAAAAGTTATTAATGAAGGTGGAAGAGCAATTTTAAGGATAGAGGAAGAAGAATGGAAGGTAGTGTTGATAGGAATGAATGCTGCTTGTGTTGAATGACTGATGCATTAGAAAAGTAATATTTACAGCTTTACACTTATTTGTGTTCTATTAACTGCTCACTGTGCTTTGCTAACAGTGAATTAGGACACACTGTTGTGAGTATAATGGAAAGCTGGGTGTTTTTTAGTCCTGAATATTAAGCGTTACTGTGCAAAAAACAAAGTCCAAAATATTTTCCTGCTTTAGAAATTATTTTCACTGCAGAGTATGATTTTCAGTATGTAAATTCTCATTTAACATTCACACACCAGAACTACTGAAATGTATCAGGATGAAAACCCTCTGTGTTTGGGCGCATGAAGATATTTCTTATAGTTTATTTTGTCTTTCTAAGAGTGAAAATGAGCCAGTAGAGTCCCAGAACACTATTACTATTGTTTCTCATGTGCAGAGCTAATCTGCTGTTAATGCTGGCAGAATGAAGGCCATCAGTGCTCTGAGCCATGCAGAAATGCACTGACCAGCTCCTAGAAAGTGGTGATAATTAGTTTGTGTTGAGGCCAGTGAGAACGTGGCAGCCAGACCCAGCCATAGTTTGGTGGTCTGCAGGCCAGTGGTCCTTGTTCAGAGCTCTTCACGTACAGACATTGTAGGTTTTTTATCCCTCAGCTCTTCTGCTCTCAGCTGCTCTCTGTTTTTATTGACAGAATAGGAAATAGAATTTAGATCTCCCTTTCTGTGCAACAATCTATTTAGAGCAGTTTCATCTTCAGTTATATTGATTTTTTATTTTAAAGAAAGAAAGAAACAAAAACAAGCCTGAAACTTGTCAATGACAGTAGTGCAGGTATCTAAATCCTGGGAGCCAAAAGAAGGCAGGTTCAGCCTGTGATCAGAATGACAATCCACACTTGATGTTCCCTTCAGGATCATGGAATCATGGAATATGATGAGTTCATTGAGTTAACTCCTGGCTTTGCACAGCACCATTTCCAAGTCACACCATGTGTCTGAGAACATTGTCTAGACACTTCTTGAACCCTATGAGGCTCAGTGCTGTGACCACTGCCCTGGGGAGCCTGTTCCAGTGCCCAACCACCCCCTGGGGGAAGAATCTTTTCCTAATATATTGATGTAAGCCTTTATAAAATGTAAACCTTTTCCTAATATGTATGATATTAAAATCGTATCAGTTATGCTTGCTACTTCTGGCATATTTTAGAAAACAGTTATTCAGCTTAATTTTGTAACCTACATGTTAAAGTATAGCTTAAGAAAAAGGACAGACTGTTAGTGTTTCAAATCAAACTTCTGCCTCAGCCCATATTCTAAGCCAAATTTCTTCTGGTTTATATTTCCTATTGCAGACATTACCTTCGTGCTTATTGAAACTAATCCATCTCCAGGAATGGCAGCTTCACAGAACTAGTTTGCAGAAAATTCCTCAGTTTATTGGAAGATTTCACAGCCTTGTTGTTCTGGATCTATCAAGGAACTCAATTGAAAGTGTACCTAAAGAAATTGGTAAGCTGTGCTTCTTTTATTTTAAGCTGCTTTTCTAAGAAAATTGGTCTTGCACAAATGTTCCATTTTTTGCCCATTGCTTGTCTAATAATCCTATTGGGTAGTTAGAAAACAGATTATTTTAATCTGACAGTAAGATAGAGATCTCCAAACTGTAAAATCCCTATAAACTAAAAATGGGCTGGATGGAAGAGATATATCTCTGTGAAAGCTCCTCATGACACAAAAAAGGACCTGTTTACACAGCAGGGACTAGACATCAGAAAGCAACTAGCAAAGTGATACTGGAAAACAGACTTCATGTCCTGAGTCCATGACAGGAGTAGCCTAGTCACAATTTTTTGGTTTTGGGTTTTTCCTTGAAGCACTCAGCTAGATTGCAGTCCTGTACTAAAGAGTCCTGAGGTGCTGGTATTTACAGTTCAGTAATTTGTTTTGTTTTGTGAGAACACATAGAGTTTTTATAACAGCAAAAGGATAAAGCAAAACAAATAATATTGTGCTTCAAGTAGAATAAACATGAACATTTCTCATTTGTACTCTCCTCAGGCCAGCTCACCAGCCTCCAAGAGCTGCTTCTCAGTTACAACAGAATAAAATCTGTTCCTAAGGAAATAAGTAACTGCATCAGTCTGGAAAGACTGGAACTGGCTGTCAACAGAAGTATCTCTGATCTTCCTCCTCAGGTTTTGACAGACTGTTTAGTTTTGTTTAATGCATATTTTGAATTTATCCAAAGCAAATTATCATTATGTGTTGCATTTCTGTTTTCAGATTTGCTGTGAAGCTGTGATTTCACAGTACTCCACACTGATGTGAACAACCTTTCCATGACTGGTCAAACTGAAGCCACATGAGAAGCACATACATACACCTGAGTAGCTGAAGGAGCCAGTCTTTATTTTGGCCAGATAAATAAGCAGTGCATGGAGGGTGGTGACACACTCCATATCAATTTGTTTAGACTGGATATTGTCACTGAATTACCCCACTAAGAATCTGATGCCTTAGCACAGAGAAGTTCCCTTTTATGGCTGAGAGTACAAATTCACACCATGTCAGGAGACACCTGTAAGCATCTTTACGAGAACAGATAGATCTGATAGAGGGGTTGTGTGATTTATACAACTGCCTTTGCAGAGGTGAACAATTGTTGTTCTCAAAAGTTTAAAACAATTATGAGAGAATGAACAGACCAAAATGTGAGAGACCTGCATCTATAACTATTAGTCTCTTAGAGATGACAAGTATGTAACTATATTTACTTGTTTTATTTAAAAAACCAGTCATGGCAATGTTTGACACCAATCAGTGTCTTGAAAATGTAGTGGGTCCAAATAACAATAGCATAGAATCTTCAAATGGAAATATGTACTATTAACCCAAATCCAGAATTTACAAAATCTCAGTGGATCCAGGTTGCAGGGTGTAACACAGAAACATAGGACATAGTTATGTCTGATGGAGACTGCGGCAATGTGATCACTGGGAAGCTTTGGTTATGTACACTTGAGTGGCACTCAGTGTTTAGACAATTGCACCAGATCTGCTATAAAACATTTTTGTACCACTTGAACATTGCAAAAGCACCTGAAGGCATAATTCACCAAATTACTTAGGTGCTGTGATACTGTGTTGCTTTTTTAGAATGTCTTGCCAGGGTAGTAGACTGCACAGCATAGAAGGTGTTATGGTTCACTCTGAATTACAGTCCATGAAATTTGATACATAAAAATCTAAATATTTTACAAACAAAAAATGGCATATTGCATGGAGTATGAAATTCTAAGGACAGTGCTGTCTTTAACATTCTCCTTCCTTGAGGCTTGGGGTATATCTGCATTGTAGTCAGCATTTATGGCACTCACTACTGGGTGGGAGGTAAAGTTCTGCTGCCTTACCAGTTCCCAACCTATCTACCTTTGAGGCAAAACTGCTATTGTCAGGTACTATCAGCTGCTGGAACTCAAAACCATTTTGTGTTTACTGGCTCCAAAATGTGTTGTAATGTTTCTCAACATTACTAGATAAGTGCTGTACAGATGCAGCAGCTACACAAAATTGCATTAAATCTCCCCTTCTTTTCAGCTCAGTGATTTAAAGAAGCTGTCACACATAGATTTGTGCATGAATCAGTTTACTGCCATCCCTTCAGCTCTCCTCAATATGCCAAATCTAGAATGGTTAGATATGGGGGGAAACAAACTCCAGGAGCTTCCTGATGCAATTGACAGGTAAATACACTCAAAGCTAATTTTAGTCTCAATTGCACTGTGTTGAAATTCTAATTAATAAACAGTACTTCAAAAGATTTTTATGTTAACCTCACTCCAAAGTCAAGATTTTATCAGCTCTAATATGATGTTTTAGATAAGCTGGAATAATCAATTTAATTAACAATAAATTCAGTATCAACTATAAGGTTAAGTATTTATTGTCAATCACATTTTTGAACAGATTAGGTGATTATCTTGGATATGGGGTTTCCATTGAGACTTGTTGCATTATGAGTCCTTTATGTGACTAAAAAATTAATTTTATAGTAATGACTGAGAGAATTAATTGAGAATTAATTGAATCTTGATCCATTGAACAAATACCTATTTTTCAGAATGGAAAACCTCCACACTTTATGGCTCCAAAGGAATGAAATAAACTCTTTGCCAGAAACCATTGGTAATATGAAAAATCTTAGTACTCTTGTTCTTAGCAACAACAAACTTAAGGATATTCCAGCTTGTATGAAGGATATGACAAATCTGAGGTAAGAAAAAGCACCAGTAATACAAATGAAAATAACTAGAAAATACTTTTTAAAGCCCCCCTTGAGCTGTAGATCATAAGTGATACTAAGGGAGAGGAAAAGGTATTACCACAGTTGTACAGATGGATACAATAAATCAGCATAATTACACAGATTCACAACAATTAAGGATCTGGTGAAGTAAGCTTTGTGTAGTGAAACTTAGTTAAAGAAGTAAATTAAGATAGCTACAGTCTCACATGAAAAGTAGACAATACTCATTTCATAGCCCTTCCACTATAATTGTCCTTTGATATCACTCTCTGAAGGCAAGAGCTCGCAGAAAAATGTGGCAGGCATTAAAATGACAGAAAGTAGAACTTTGCCATTGAGAATTCAAGCATTCAGAATTAAATAAAATGTATTAGGTTTAAGGAAATGGATGAAACTGTCATGTACTTGAGATGAAAAATACAAAATTATGTAAATTCTTAAGCGGTAGAATTTTAATTACTCCTTAGTATACTGTGACAGAAACTTCCCTGTTGTTAGCATTTTCATTTGGATTACTGGATGCTGGCTGTTTTAGAGAAAGAATCCTAGTCTGCATAAACCATGCCTAACCCAGGAAGATAATTCCTGCTCTCAGCTCTTTTGGAAGAACCTCCTTAACTAAATATGCACAAGCATAGGCCCAAGGATATAGAGAATAAAGAGACAGGACTGGCTCCTGCCTTGCAAAGCTGGGAGGAGCCACTTGCACTGTTCTCAACCACACTCACCTGTTTGTGAAAGCTCAAAACATCTGGCAGTGGGGTCACAAACTGAAGACAAAATTATGAGGACCACAATATTTCCCCACCACAATCAGTTACTATTATAAAGCATCTTCTTAACTTACTTATTTCTACTGATAGAGTGGTGAGTTTAGTATAACAAGAACTTCATTTCCTTTTGCTTAAAATAGCATTTGAGAAATCTTAATTCAATTTCAAAAGAATTATTTTCTCTGGACAAAACTTACTGCAAGATTAACCTTTTCTGGTGAATTCCTAGATTTGTTAACTTCAGAGACAACCCACTGGAGCTAGAGGTAACACTCCCTCCATGTGAGAACACAGATGAGGAGGAGCAACAGGAAATGTTTGGCATTGACTTCATGCACTTGTATATCCAGGAATCACTCAAGAAAACAGGTATGTCTTTTTTATTAATTCTGATCTCTCCACAATACAGTGAGGAAGAGAGGGATAAACTGGATAAATAAAATCGAGGATATGTATAAATATGAAACATGAATAACCTTCTTAATAAATGAGTAATAGTTTCCAAAAAAATCTGTAAATAGGCTTTTACTGAGGACAGGGGCACTTTTAGCAGGAGTTGGCACAGTAGGTTTCCAACAAAAAGCACAGATTCTGGTAGGAACATACTGGAACCATGGAGCACTGTATTAAATGTGCCTGAGTTACCTACACCATGGATAAAGAGAAGCTGATGACTGTGTTTCATATTTGCAATTTAATCAGTTTACATAGTGAAGGTCTTCTAGTGTCCTTTAATTTATGAAGCTCAACTTTTCCTATTTTTAGATGTTGCCCAGATGGTACTTCCAGAGGATGATTAAGGGAGAAATGTCTATGTTCCTAAGATACATCTTTTAGCAATGAAATATCAACACCTGATTAACAGATGTTTCTCACAACTTGCTTTCCCTGACACAAAATACAGTCACTTAAACAAAACACCCCCAGTTTCATCCCATTTCTAAAATATGAAAAAAATTTGCTGTTCATTGTCTCTGGAGTAACAGTTTTAACATTGCAATAAGAGACCCAAATAAGCACTTTGGAACAGATTTTCAGTTGGCAGCTGTTACTTGCACTGAGCACTTCACTGCAGCTATAAAATGTTCTTGCTGATCTTCATTTTGTGTTTTGTGAAGGCTTAAAAAGTGAATGTAATGTTCTTGATTTAGAACACTAAGACAGCTTTTTTCTTATCAATATTTCATGAATGAACTATCAAATTAGCGAAAATATATCAAGATGACACTTTAGACATAAGTTTTCTTTCTGAATAGATTCTCTAGCAGCACAGGCTGATCAAAGTACTTAGGCCTACTTAAATATTTTAAGAAGAAATACAAAGCTAGTCTGAACTTCAAAGTGAGAATAAAGTATGTCAACTTCTCTTATTTTAACCTATTGTCTTTCAGGAAATGTGGAAAGTTGTACTTCTGGTTCTCCTCCTGTCATGAATCCTAATGAATAAAGAATGTAACTGTGAATGGAAGAAAATATCAAGTACACTTCTTCACAGCAAAGAGGCTACAACAGGTTTCAAGTATTTTTAGGGATTTTTATTTTTTTGCTGATGAGAACTCGTTTGTGTATTTGTAATTCCCAGTGAAGCTGAAAAGTATAAGACCTTTTCCTGCGTACAGGAAAGATGATATAAGTTGGTTTTTTTTTTGTAAAAAATTAATTAGATTTTTAAAAAAACCCAGATAAGTTTTATAGAGTTTTTTTTTTTTTTTCCTACCAATTCCAAATCTATCTCCTGTCATACAGTTGGCTCTGGTATCAAAGGAGGATTTGGGACAGCTGTCAACAGGACATTCTCCAAGGACACAGCAGGCTCTGTATAATACTGCATTGCAGCCTTGTATCCTTGCTGCTGTAAATACTCAATCCGTCCGTGATCAATCAGCCGTTTGCAGAGGCAACCGATCTCCTTCCGTTCCTCAACACTCAGTATCCTGGTTCCAGATAAAGGAAAGAAGCAATGACAGCTGTCAGAAAATAGTTTTGGTAATTAACATTAGTACTTAAGCTTAGAAAAACTACCAAAATCATTGTAAGTTCATTTCAGTCCAGTCAGGTTAAGCATGGCTATTGAAATATTTTGAAATGTACGTTCATGAAAATCATATTTTTAAAGTAAAATATCTCTATAAGTTTAGTAATTAAATGTTTCTGCAAAATTAGTCCTTTTGAGGACCCAAAGCAATTTAATGTGCCACTATACATAGCTTTTCTGCTGGAGTCCATTTGCTAGGGAAAAAACCTACATACCCTTGTAAAGTATCAGAACCACTTGCTGTCCTGCTGAGGGTGTGCTCATGTTCTTCTGTGTCATTAGTTTGATCTTCACCATCTTCACTTGCAGAAACTTTGCTTGTGGTTTCTTGCATGCCACAAGTGGCCCAACTACTCATTCTCTGAAAATAATGGAATTCTACTGGTCCCAGTCCTGTTGATTTAAAGAACTCTCTGCCTACATAATGTGTCCAGTCACACTTGTGATGGCAACACAGAGCAATAACAATTCCAGCTACAGGTTTACGGACTTCTGTGGTGCTTTCATTACCAGCAGATTTGTGAGGAGCCACCTCTGTCTGAGCAGCCCTGCAGCGTTTTGGTGCAGGCTCTTCATCTTCTCCATCACAGCTAGTGGTGTAACTTTCAACCAAGCATCTCAAAGCAAGATCTGAGAAGGAACAAAAAATATCCATGCCATTATTTATACAGGCTGTATCGTTGCAATGTGCTTCCCACAGAGAAGAATAAAGTTACACATCACAAACTAAGCCAAAAAGCAAGTTCAATGATAACTAAAAATTACAAATATGCTTTGAAAATATGAAAACCCTAAATGTGGTTTCTCTGGAGCTTCTAAGACCTTATCCTCTGAAATATTTGTTCTTCAAAAGTGAATTTAAAATAGTTTGATTAAAAAATTGGCATTGTAGGAAAATCTCCTCCCTGTAAAACACATGAATATTTGCTCTAAAAGTTTGATATCTAGGACACAGTCTATTATATATGCACATATACTTCTTAAATGCTTAACTTAGACATCTCAAATATGACACCTTTATAGGTAGCATGACAGAGATGACATTCTCAACACAATAGCCATACAACATTAAAAAACTGTATTAGTTTAAAGTTATCAGGACAGAAACACAATCTTATTTGTGTTTGGGATACATATGCAGACAGCCAATAAAATTTTAGAAAGAGAATTGTTTCAAAGAAGAAGCAACTGTGCTAAAAAAAGTACTCTCAAATATATTACCCATGCCACCACACATTGTTCTCCGTTCTAATCTATTAAAGCCAAGAAGGGCTTCACTTCTGCCTAGAGTATCCTTACATCTGTTATCCTTTTACTATTCCACTGGAGCCTAGAGATATTTAGAATATAATTACTGTGTTCACCAGAAAAGGTTTAGAGGGCAAGAACAGTTTAAAAGGACAATGTGGAAGATCAGTGCATTCACAGTGTAAGGCTTATATCCTGACTTTCTGCACTTCACACATCTGTAATTCATACCTGTTGCAGCACCACACAAATGCTTCCCAATTCCTACCACTGGTAATTTTTTCTTCTCCAAAATAGGTACTTTATCTGGAGGGAAGAAAAAAAACAACCAACAAACGTCCATCCAATCCACAACTACCCCAGCATCTCTGCTTTTTCTGAATAATATAATTACAGCAGACTTAGAAATAAATGTTTGCCATGACTAAAAATACATTGATTGGCACATTTTGTTAAGACAAATTAAAACAATAGGATGCAGTGGCTGGGAAGCACATTTAACCATTTCAGCCTTTCTATACTGCCTATGAAAAGCAAATATGACATTAATGCATCTCCTGCTGACACATGCTCCCACAAATTCTGTAGCATTGATGGTGCATGACTTATATGTAGAATTAAGCAAAACAAACAATGCCAGCATGTTTAATTCTGCAAGTGCTAAAAAACCTTCAAAATTTATTTGTTTTGGTATTTCCTCACCTATAATGATGTCCTATGAGTGTATAAAAAGTAGAAAACTTTAAACCTCCATCTAAAGTATATGTGTATCTACGTATATTCGCACATACCTGTCTGCATATATGTGTAAACATACAGCATCAACATGTCCAAGCAACCACTGAGAATAATCTTCAGAACCAAGTACATTTAAGCATGTTACACACAAACTGACTGGAACCTCAATTCAAAATTTAAAAATAAGCCTCTATTTCAGAATGACACAGGCCAAGAAGGAACTTACTTAAACATAAGTGCTGAATGTCTACTTGAAGCCTCTCAAATATAGAATCTCTCCTTTTGTGTTTTCCATCCACCTGTTGAAACAGAACAAGAGATTTCATAGGATTGGTCACTAATAACTATAATTTTGATCCAGGTATTAATGTCAGACTTTTTCCTTGTCAAATCGACATCTGTGAATTTCCAACATTAAACATCAAGATTTTTTTTCTAAAAAATTTGCTATTGGTAAAGTATGGAATGTATAACTTGTAAAATTTAAATGTAAGTAAGGATAAAAAGTAAACACTAACAGTTTCCATGAAAAGGGTTTAAAAATTATACTTTACTAATGTAACAATATCCTCTTACCTTGAATCTTGTGGTTGCCCTTTCCACAAGCAAAAACTGAACATTTTCAACATTCTCTAAGGCAATATCAACCCAATGAGACAGCTTTCCTCGCCCAGCTCCAAACTCAACAAAACACCTTCCTGGACCAAGTAAATGCAATTTTTCCATGTTACCTAAAATAGAAGCCTACAAACATCAAAAGATTATTTGTGAACCAAGAAAATATATACCCTGTGTTTTGTAATGCCTTATAGAAAAATTATACCTTCACCGAACCACCGAAGACTTTTTAAAGCCTTCCTTTCAGTGAGAGATTAGGGAAAAGATGATGTGTGTACAGAGGAAAGGGATTATATCTTCTGTTTTACCATATCAGATTCCCTCTGTGGGAAGCAACTGGAATTATGCACCCAGTCACTCAAATTTACAGCAGCACAATTCCCTGTCCAAACTCCTCTAGAGTTATTACTAAATCAGACCAAACCTGTTGTTTCAGGTGTTTGAAAGCAGATTCCCCATTCTTTGGGTCACTTAAGGCTTCTTGTAAAGCCTGGTGGGACAGTATTTGTTCCTTAAGATGAACTTCCAGGCCTGAAAGCAAATGCAAAACTTTCAGGTATAGCTTTGAGTTTCCAAGGGTTCCTAGTTTGTAACACACATAATTACAATTGTGACATGAGCTCAGTTTGAAGCACTAATAAAGCAGTCTGCTGGGAGTGTAAATCTATCATCATATGTTTATAACAGATATATTATCTGTAGTGATATCTGAGTGAGAAAAAAAAAGAAAAAAGGAAGGGAACACAGGATTGGAGTTTTATCACTCTTTCATTCTAGTTTACTATTTGGAGTAAAATTTAGCTATTGGAAGTCTGCCTGATAACTATTTCAGATGTGTTTTATGGCACCTATCTTATTTTTACAGGTATCTAACAACAAAAATAGCAATGAAATAATTAATCAATTCAATTTAAGATAGGTTACACACAAACTTTTAGTATTTAGTATTAAGCTCACCATTACTTGCTTTTTTCAACTTGATAATTAAATTCTGCAGCTCTTCAAGAGATAAAGAAGATAGAGGAACCTTTTTAAGGAAAAGAAGTGACACCAATAAATGTGAGACCTTTGAAATTTTCTGTATTTTTATAGTCATAAGTTGCAACATGTAATGTATGGATTGAACCTAAAACCAAATAATGTACTCACTTGTTTTTCTGATATTTCTACTACATCTTTTAAACCAGCATTAATATCTTGAACAAAGTAGACCTTAAAAAAAAAAAAAAAGAAAATAAATTTGATTCAGTTAATTACCAAGAATCAAATAGCTAAATTCTTTAGTGTTCTTATGTAAGGTATGTAGCAATAAGAATCCACTGCAAGGTTAAGATTTTCCAAGTAATTTTCCTTCCTATAGTTTGATACTGAATCCCAGCCAGAAATTACTCTTCTGACACAGTGTTACAAGATTGAACATGTTCATAAGAGTAAAGCAGTCAGGGCTTACTAGACAGATTCCAGAGACCATTTTCAGGTTTCCCAGGGAATACTAAAGGTGCAATTCGAATAAGGCAGAAAGGCAGGCAATAAAGAAGCCATCCTCTGCTTTCTTGAAAGAGCTGTATAAACACGTCCTGTTGCTTCCCTCAGCAGCTGTCAGCCAGGCTCTCCGTGGCTCACTGCCAGCCTGCCTGGAGTGGGCAAGTGCCTGGGATACCCAGAGCTTCTCTGCAGGTTTTGCTTTCTCAGGACAAGCTCTCACCCAGCCTCTGAAATGAATGGCATTGTGAGAGCCTCTTCCCTGGGTTGTTTCTGAGAAAAATTAATTCAACATTTTTATTTGTAACCAAGAATTGAAAAAGTGTACCAAATTACAATGAGAAGGGGCAGAGAACATGAGGGGACTAGAATGTGAGTTGCATTTCAGCAGTAGTGCTTTGCTAGACCTGCTGCCCTGCAGCTCACAGCTGCTGTCAGCACAGAAAATTCCCTGCAGAACTGTAATGTTTTAGGTCTTAAATCCGAGAGGAAGTGCTGAAATTACACTGCACTTACAGGCTTTGGCTTCTCTCTTGAGTTACATTTTTTTAAATGCTTTTGTAGTTGGTCTTCATAGACAGTGCTAAAAGCCAAATGGAGAGAAAAGTAAGTATCATGTGAATACTGACAAAGAACGGGAAAAACTTTTACATATACTCACTGTTTTGGATCAAGAGGGCACGGAATTCTTTTTCTGTCATTTTGTTCCTAGTTAGAAAAGTTTTAGAAAACACTTCAGCATGCATTCAGCGTTGTGTTTTAAAGAAATTGTTGAGGGGCATCAGCTTCATAAAACAGCTATGCAGAATAACTTAGTTAACCGGAACGGAGAAACAGAGACGAGAACTTAATACTTGACTGGATCCTAAAAGAATAAACCCCTAATGCAAGGTCAGGGCTACCGCTGGGCTGCCCGGCACATAGAGGCTCAAGGGAGGCACCGGCGCTGCCTCTCCCACCCGTGCCACGGGAGCGGGGCCACCCCACGCCCGGCCGGCCGTCCCTGTACCTCTTCGTGCCCGTGCTCGCCGCAGAAGCGCCTGCCGGGCGCCGGGATCATCCTGCAGAAGCGCCTCTTCCTCAGCACGAAGTGAGCGCAGCGCCCCGGCCCCGGCCCCGCTCCCGGCGCCGCCATCGCCGCTCCCGGCGCCGCCATCGCCGCTCCCGGCGCCGCCATCGCCGCTCCCGGCGCCGCCATCGCCGCTCCCGGCGGCCCCCGCGCCGCCATGTTGCGGCCCCGCCCCGCGGCCGGAGCAAGATGGCGGCGGAGCGGATCTTCGACCGGGCGGTGTCGGTGCGAGTGCGGGGCTGCGGCTGCGAGGAGCGGTGAGTGCGGGCCGGCTGCGCGGGAGTCTCTCAGCGCTCCTCAGGGGGGCTGCGAGCCACAGCCGCTTTCCTCCTGCCGGCTCTCGGCGCCGCTGGGCAGCGCTCTGCGGTGCCGCGCTTGGCGCTGCTGGCGTTGGCACCCTCGGGCTGAGGGAGGGGCCGGGTCTGGCGAGGCCCGGGCAGCCGGGGAGGGCCGGACGGTCGCCGTGGGAGGGAGGGAACCCGGCGGGCCGCCGGCAGCGGAGCGAGCTCGCCGCGGCTCTGCGGAGGCGCCGCTGGGCCCGGGGCTGAGGCGACCCGAGGGCCGGGCGGCTGCCGGGCCCGCGCGGGGTTCGGCGTCTCCGGGCCGCGGTGCCTCCCGCGGTTCCTCCCGCGGTGCCTCCCGCGGTGCCTCCCGCGGTGCCTCCCGCGGCTCCTCCCGCGGCTCCTCCCGCGGTGCCTCCCGCGGTGCCTCCCGCGGTGCCTCCCGCGGTGCCTCCCGCGGTGCCTCCCGCGGTTCCTCCCGCGGTTCCTGCCCCGGTGCCTCCCGCGGTTCCTCCCGCGGTTCCTCCCGCGGCGCCTCCCGCGGTGCCTCCCGCGGTTCCTCCCCCGGTGCCTCCCGCGGTGCCTCCCGCGGTGCCTCCCGCGGTTCCTCCCGCGGTTCCTCCCGCGGTGCCTCCCGCGGTTCCTCCCCCGGTGCCTCCCGCGGTGCCTCCCGCGGCTCCTCCCGCGGCGCCTCCCGCGGTTCCTCCCGCGGTTCCTCCCGCGGTGCCTCCCGCGGTGCCTCCGCCTCTGCCCCGCTCCGCGGCCTCATGCGCGGCTCCCCGCAGCCCAGGACCCCGGGTCTGAACCGCCGGTGCGAGGTGCGCACAGCGGCGGTGTCCGGGAAAGCGCAGACATTCCGTGTGTGAAGCGTCTCTTCAAAACAGGATGAATTTCGGCACTACGGGTCCTGTCTGGTTAGACAGTGTGAGAAGGCACGGAAAGGCTGCTGTGGTGTGCGTTGTAATATAAGTGACTTAGTAAGAAATCATTGAAGGCAAGGTAGCACTGTATTTATTATTACCAGGAGTTTGAGCAGTCGTTAATTTCAGCAGGCTTCTACAAAAGTTCTAGTTTCTGGACAACGTTTCAAAACTTCTGCCTCGCGATTTAAAGTCTGGTGGATAACAAGCAAGCAGCAAAAAAAAAACAGCTCTGCCTGAGGTGCTGCAGTGACTGAAACTCTTATAATTTTAAGTGTAGTCAGTGAGGGGAATTTTATTAATGTTTCTGCCTAAATTTTTATTTTTGAGATGTCATTGATTGCTTTAATGAAGCTGTGAACACATATTATTTGGAGAATGTTTTCTTGATTTATTACTGAGTTTAATCCTTTTGTACACAGGAGATTAAATGTTCGAGTGAATATTGAACTACTGTCAATTTCTAATCCCGTTCATAAAAAGGTTTGTAAATTAATCATATATCTGTCATTCATTACGTATTATCTGAATTTTATTTTATGGACGTATAAGTAGAAAAAGGAAAAGTAAAATGGGATTTTAGTCTTTGCCATTTGACCATACTTTATTTCTTATATGATTTTTTGAGTAACTTAGTTGGTTTGGAATTGTGGTTTTCCATCCTCCCTCCCCCACCCCCCAGCCTTTTTTAGCCCTCTATTTTAGTTTGGCTGTCGATGGGTCTTAGCAAGCCTGCATAGTAAAAGTATTTGGAGATGCTCAGGGGAACATGAGTTAGAGCTTAGGGGTACCTTTAGTTCAAGGCTCCACATCGGGAATAAAAAAAAAAAAATCGTCTTTCTCAGGGGAAATCACAATGAGACCACTACTGGAGATTTTGTCATGTCTTCTGTTGTATGTCTGATTTGTCATCAAAGTGTTCATCCCTTCAGCATGATGTTAAGATTGGTCATGGGTGGGTTATGGTGCTGTTGGGCAAAGATTTGTTTGTATAGGAATACAGCAGTTTTGGTCAAATTCTGCTCCTGGTGGCAGTGATAATGGTGCTTCCCTCTGAGCAGAAGCAGCTCAGTTAGAAGTGTGTGCTGAGCTGTATCAGGAGGAGCCTGGGAACTGGAAATGCAGTTGAGTCCATCAGGGAGTGATAGGAGATCTTCCAATGCTTAACCAGCTAATGGGACATCAGACCAAACAGGCATTTTGTCCCACCCATCAGTCCACCCCAGCTGGCTTGGGCTAGCATTAATTTTAACTGTCCGTGTCTGTAAATCCCCGAGTTTGTTTGTGCATCTCCAGCTGAGAGTTTCGTTGGTGTTACTGGCACCTGAACTAAAAAAGTTTCAGTTATGTGTGTGTACAGTGCTGTGTCACTCATTACGTAGGAACAGCTGACACGTTTCTACTTTACTGTTGTACCTCTGCTGGGGAATATTCTTGCCACAGGGGCAAGCTTTGTTCCAGGAGCAGCTACCTGAGCCCAATGTACTGCATAACCCCATCCCTGGAATTATTGGAGTCTTAATGCTTATGGAGAGGGCAGGCTTTCCAGAACATTGTGTAGACATCAAGTGAGTGTCTGTTTCAAAGCTAAGCAGCATAACCCTGCAGTTTGCCAGATGGGATTCAGCTGTATCCAGTCTGCAGAGCTCTGTATTCAAGTATAGAAAAGCAGCTGGTGGTTTTATAAACTTCAGGAGCAGTGTGCTCTGAAAGACTTCCAGTTATGGGAGTGATGTATTACTAAACCATGAGATGGGCTGCTAGTGCTACGTTTATTTCATGAGGGGAAAAAAAGAGCAAATAGCTTTTTCTCTGAAAAATGATGGCTACACACTGAATTTCAAAACCTTTGCTGGTCAAAGTTTAATGTTTTGACTTGGTTTGTTTTTGTGAAAGAGTTTTCCTTGTTTTCTTGCTGTAATATTTGAATCAGTTGCCACAATTCTGTTGTATTTTTGACTAAACAATGAAAGCATTCACTACTGTTTGCAATGCTGGCTTAAAATATTTATAGTATTTTAATCTTATTTAAATGTACATCTTTTCAGGACTTAGCTGTTCGATTGACTGATGATACTGATCCTTTTTTCCTTTACAACCTTGTTATATCAGAGGAAGATTTTCAAAGGTAAGTGAAATTACAGTACTTTCTCTGTGAAACATTTCTAAATGGCAAAAAAAAAAAAAAAAGAAATGGAATATTTGTAGCTTCTAGTGGTCTGTGTTAGAGTTCAGGTTTTGGAAGTTTTCACTTGTGGGGTTTTGTCAGTGTTTTATCATTATTGTTCTCTGACCGGTCACCAACCTGGTGAAGCAGCCATGTTCAGGAGCGTGACCAGCTCAGGTTACAGAGAGGAATACTGCTGGTATCTTCTGTTTATCCTAACTGCTTCTTACAGACTACTGTGTGTGTATGTGTGTGTGAACTAGTTCAGGAAATAATTGCAAGAAGCAAGTCTTGTTGGCATGGACATGGTTTTACAGACCTGAGCCTGTATCTTAGGGGTTTCTTGCATAATTGTACTGTTGGGTCTCATTGACTTGCTCAGAATTTGAGCAAATCATCAAATTTGGATTCCAGGCATGAACAGATGAACAGTTCAGTTTTCCTTGGGTATTTATTTTATTTTTGCTATGTTTTGTTTTGTTGAGGGTTTTTTGTGGGTTTTTTTTGTTTGTTTGTTTGTTTGAGGATTTGGCATGGGGTGGTGGCTTTGGTGTTGTTTTTAAAAGGGAGGTGTGATCGGTATGTGGATCAAAAGGCAAAAGCAAAGTAGTGTTTGCAGGAGAGATGTGCTGGAGTGTTTCGTTGCACGGAGGCAGAGCTTTGTGCATGCACTGCAGGATGTTTCATGTTTCTGTCTGAATTTGCTGTGGCTGTGGAGAAGGGGGCAGAGATGGGCGAGTGGGGGATCGAGGTAATGGCTGAGGCTCCCCTCCTTGTCCTGTGCTTGTTCCCTGTGCCTGTCCCATCACTCCTCCACACTGAGCTGTGAGGGTGATGCCTACTCAAAGAAACACATTTGTTCCACAGCAACTTCTGGTTTTTAATTAGTGCAGTCCATTTGCAAGAACTCTTGTGTTCAGAAGTATCCTCTGGGGATCATTATCCGGGATGTGCTCTAGGCTGACCCTGCTCAAGCAGGGAGGTTGGACCAGCTGACCCTCTGTGGTCCCTTCCAGCCTGACCTCTTCTGTGATTTTGTGATTTGAGGACACACTTCTGGTTGAAAATAATCAGAAGTGGTTCTTTCTACTAGTGTAAACAAAATATTTTACAGGAAATTAATTACAGTTCTCTATATTGTTAATGTTTTTTTTCTGTCTGTTCATATAGTTTGAAATCCCAGCAAGGTCTCTTGGTAGACTTCTCTGCTTTCCCGCAAAAATTCATAGATTTGCTTCAGCAATGCATTCAGGAGCAGAACAAAGATATCCCAAGGTAGGTCACAAGTGTGTGCCATGTTACTCTGTGTGTACTTGCTGAGTTCTTAAAATGCTTGTCAGTCACTCAGACTGAGAAGAGTCAGTAGAAAAGGATAATCTGACCTGCCCCGACCTGAATATGTTGGTGGATGTGGCAAAACCTGAGTCTTTAGAGGAGAATTCTTTCTTGAGCAAAAACTGAACAGTCTTTTACTGTACATATAAAAATATATTCTATTGCCAAATAGATTAGGATCTACAGGTAGTTTCAGGAAAAAATGCTAAACATTTGATTATCTTGGTTTTTCCCTAGGTTTTTGCTGCAGTTGGTTTCCTCAGCACCAGCTCTAGATCACACACCTGTCTCTTTAAATGTAGTGGAGACCAACCCTTTCAAACACCTTACCCATCTCTCTCTAAAATTCCTGCCAGGAACTGATGCAGAAATAAAGAAGTTTTTGGCCAACTGTTTGAAATGCCTTAAGGTAAAATGAAAGTTTATTGTAACTGCAACTAAGCCTCAATGCTGTATGTACTTAAGCATTTTTTTCATCCTGGGAAATTCAGAAGTATGTACCAAGTTGTATGCTCTCGTTTATTTTTCCTTTTAGTCCAAATACATAATTGCATGCAGCTACTTGGGTGCATGTTGTAAAGTCTGAATTGTTACCATCACCCAGGCAGTGGAAATGCATTCTGTATATTCAGGCAGGAAGGGAGGTGTTTTACACAAAGTGCACGTGGTGTGCAGCTGCTGAGTGCTCTGGCTGCTGCACTCCCCTGCTCGCAGCCTGTGCTGATGGCCAGAGCAGCTGCAGGACTGACTGGAACCTTCAGTCTCTGTTCTGCACTTGGCTGTAGGCAAGCACAGGCTGCTGGTAATTGTGAGGCTTGGTGGGCTTCAGAGGACTAACAGCTGTAAAAGCCAGTTAAAATGGGAATGCTGATGCAGTTTGTTAGCATGCTAGGTTTCATTTTGTGAGAAATTAAAGGTCTCAGTTTGACTGTTGTGCTGTCATGTTTCTAGACACCTAATAAGCCATTTTAATAACATAGATTTACAGTATTTCAGTTGATCTCTTGTTTAGGTAACTCCTTTGTAAACATATATTGTAAATAAAATACCATTTCCTTGTAGAAATTTGGTAAGAATTTAATTTGGGGTTTTTACATTGTGGGCTAATAGCTTTTATTTTGAATTTACTAATTATATCTTATTCAGTATGACACTTATTTAATAAGGTGATCTTTTCACAAATACAGTGAGTATAAGGGTGCTTAGGCAGGTGTGCTGATTAAATGGGATCTAAATGCTACTTGTGTTTTGGGAGCTAAGGATTTGACTTGATGTTAATTTGTACATAGGAGGATAAAAAGATGTTGGAAGAAAAGCTTAAGAAAACTGAGGAGGATCTTACCAGACAACTGAGCTACACTCAACAGGTAACAAATTTTTAACTTTTGTGTGTTGCACTTTTTTGATTTATGGAAAATGTCCCTTTTTGTAGGCTGGTTGGTTAGCCACTACCTAGCCAAGATAACTGACTTGAGACTGAGTGAAGAGAATAGTCTACTGTAGCCTTTCTGAGAGTGAGTAAAGCCTGCAGCTGAAGAGTTAAATTGAGCTCTTGCAGTACTCAAGCAGAATTTTACTTTATTTTTTGCAGAGGTCTGTGCACACACAAATTGAATACTAAATATATGGTCATGTGACGATAAATGATAAATATACTTCATATATTCCATGAATCGTTGGAAATTGTTTTATTTGGAAAAATAGTGAAACTGGTAAATAAATTGGAAGTCTTGGACTTTAATTACTTCATTTTGGATTTTGCAGTCAGCATAGTAATTCTGTATTTCAAGAGAATGATTACGGTCAGATTCTGCAGTTATCAAGGTGACTTTTTTCACCATAATGAAATAGAACAATTCCAATCAAATTGTTAAGAATTATTTTTTGAATGGAATATTTGTTTGCCTCATGTCTGCAGCTTCAGTTTGAGTTACTGGAATGTGTTTGCTGAATTGGAATGCAGAATTACAAATCAAAAAAAGGAAAAGATGCTGCTGAAGAACTTTATTTTTTTTTCCCCTAACAGAGTGCTGTGTGTTACAAGGCTAGAGAGCAGCAGGCTGTTTTTTCACACTTAAATAGTGGCTGGAAAAAAATGCAATTGGAAATTAAAATTCTTTTATCCACAGCATTAGAACAGTGCTCTTCAGCTTCTCAGTGCCTTACTTTTCCTGCTTACAAAATTAACATATTTCAGCATCTGGTGCTGAAATTTAGACTTTTTTTAATAATTCCATGTTTTTTTAGTAAGTAACAGTCACTCGGTATTGGCTGAAATATTTACATTTTTAAACTCTATGTGCTTTTGTCAAATTTAAACAGAGCTTGTCAGAGAAGAGCCGGGAACTTGACAAACTGAAAAATGAATGGACAGCCTACACTACAGCTCTGAGCAACAAACACTCGCAGGAGCTGACCAGTGAGAAGGAAAGAGCTCTCCAGGTACAATGGTTGGAAAGAATGGACAGGATTCTTGTATTGGAATAGTCAGAGTCATCAAATAACTGCTTCATTTCTGTGCTCCTCACAGGCACAAACTCAGTACCAGCAACAGCATGAGCAACAGAAAAAGGAATTGGAAAATTTGCATCAGAAAAGTATTCAGCAGTTGCAGAACAGGCTCTCAGAACTCGAGGTCATCAATAAAGACCTAACAGAGAGGAGATACAAAGGAGACTCCACAGTCAGAGAACTGAAAGCAAAGCTTGCTGGATTAGAAGATGTACGGCTTCCCAATGCCCAAAATTAAGCTTACTACTGCTAGAGCATTAACTGTGCCTGCCTGGGCACGTTATAGGAAATTCAGCATGCTAAGTTCATTTATTTCCTCTTTATTCCATATTATGCTTACTGTTTAAATATGTCTGTTTAAATTACTGTTACGGGTTTTCTTGAAGAATAAAATTCAATTCCTTCCCAACATTTAGGAATGTCAAAGAGCAAAGCAGGAGGTGCTGTCCCTACGCCGGGAGAACACAACTCTGGATGCTGAATGCCATGAAAAAGAGAAGCTCATTAATCAGCTGCAGACACGAGTTGCTGTCTTGGAACAAGAGATCAAAGACAAAGATCAGCTCGTCACCAGAACGAAAGAAGTCCTAGATGCAACACAGGAGCAAAAGGTTTTTTCATTATTTTTTTTAAACTTTCCTAACTGTGGTTTCCATAGAGGAGCTGCTGGCCAGTTTTTATGAATACAGCTGAAGTTAAGATTCTAAATGATGGCATCAAAAGTATACTGGGTTCAGATTTAATCCTTTGGTACTGGAGTAATAGTTTATGGTATTGTTGGTAGGAAAAAAAAGATTAATCCAGATCCTTTAAAATTTGAAAAGCAAGCAGCTGGTTCCCTGTAAGGATAGTACTCTTAAGAATTATGAACATTCTACTTGAAATCATAAACAATGTATATCACAGCCTTATTGTATTTTGTAACATTCTTTTCAAGGTGATACTGGAAGAGAGTACAGAGGAAAAACAGAGGCATATTGAGAAACTAGAGACAACAATTAAGTCGCTGTCAGCTGAGCTCCTTAAGGTTTGTTTGAACGTGGCATTTCATGGCACTTCCCTTGTGCATCTCCCTTATTCTTAGGTATTTATTTTTTGTAATATATGGCTTGGGTTTTTTTAATAGGCTAATGAAATTATCAAGAAGTTACAAGGAGATTTGAAAACTCTAATGAGTAAATTAAAATTGAAAAATACAGTGACAATTCAGCAAGAAAAACTGTTGGCAGAAAAAGAAGAGAAACTTCAAAAAGAGCAGAGGGAATCACAGGAGATGGGACAATCCCTTCAAATGAAAGAGCAGGAGGTATTGATGGGTTAACCTTGTGTGCTGGAAGTGCAATTGTATGGACTTTGCTGTGTTTTGTGGGCTTTAACTTAGTTACAGAAATAAGGTACTAAATCTCTCCATGCAATAGATATACTCTTTTGCTTATTTAATGTATTTCTTTAAATGTGTCATCAACTTTCAGAATTTTAATGTTAACCTGATTTGTAAAAGCCATCCATTTATATGGAAAGTAATCAAAATTGTTTTAAGAGAACAAAGCAACATAATGATGAATCAGCACCTTTTAGAAGGCACATTCATGTGTAAGTTGGTGAAGGGAGTAAGAACAAGAACAGAGTGAACCTTTTTCTTCAATTCCATTCAACAGGACATTCTCCTGTTTAGAGTCCTTGCACTAATCATAGAAAAATGAAGATCAGAAAGGATTCTGGCTGTCACCTTGCCAAAATCCTAGCTGAAAGTAGGGCTTTCTTTAAAAGAATTACTATGTTGCTTTTGTGACAAACTGAGTTCAAACTTCTTTAATTTTAGAATAACTTCGTAAATGCTTTTTTTGTTGTTTGTATTTAGTATATAAAACTAGTAGTATAACACTCCTGATAGTGTTGCAATTTTTATGGGAATTACAGGTTGACAAGCTACGAGAGCAGCTAGAAAGTACAATACAAAAACTTGAAGAAAGTAAGCAGTTGCTGAAAACCAATGAAAATGGTAGGTTTATACAGCTTGATTTTTCCCTCTGTAAAAATGACCCAGTGATCTCACTACTGCTGAAATTGATAGAAGTAATTTTTGGGGTTTTTGTGAAGAGCTGCCATTATTGTCATGCGTGGAAAACAAGCCTGGGGCTGTGGGGTGCTCAGAGGCCTGGAGAGGGGAGGAAGCTTCATCAAACGGCTCTGCATGGTACTAGGGAGAAGGAAGGGCTACTGGCCATTTCCAAGAGATTGTACAAGAGAGCAAGTGGACTTGAGCTTTTCCTTCCTCTTGCAGTTATCACATGGCTGAACAGACAGCTGAGTGAAGTTCAGATGGCAAAGAAGCTGGACAGTCCTGCCAGTGCCCCTGCTGCTGGGAGGGCTGCTGTTTCACCTCTCAGCATGGTAAGGTAGAGCAGGCTGGTCAGGTGGGCATCAGTTGATAAAATGCAGAGCCTTCAAAGAGGAAAAAAAGCGCTCACATCCTCCGGCCCTAAAAGTTTGGGGGGGGGGGGTTGGCCTTGGTTGGTTTTCAACAATATAAAACCCTGTTTGATGCTTCTTGATGCCCTGAGCCTTCTATGTAAAAATCTTCTAAGCTCTTGTTTATGTAAAATACACAAAGGAGTAATAGAATTAACTTTTGAAAAGATGAAATACAGAGTGAAGACAAAAAAAGGCAGCTTTTTTGTGTTGAGTGGTTAACTTACTAATTCCCTCTGTAAAGATTAAAACCCAAAGTGTACTATTTCAGTACTCTTAATGATAAAGTAATTTTTAGAAACAGGAAAAGTCAGGGGCTGAGGAATGTTCCTGCAGTCATTGTTGAATACTGTAACTTGCTGCTTCTCACCCTGTGTTGTGCAGATCTGTGCTGTCACAGCAACAGCAGGAATTGATGAGCTGCTTGTTCAGTGTTCATACAAAGGGGATTTGTAGCTGGATACATTAAGTGCTTTAATCAATGACAGGGTGTGTAGCTTGTTACTAGCTGAGAGTGCTCACCTCATCTAACTTTTTCAAAGTGGTTTTCCTTAAGTGTGCAAATCTTGGAAAAAATTATGCTTTCTTCCCATCAGGAAGATTCACGTAAGTGTTGGCCTTGTAATGGCAGTTACTTGTTAATTTTGGAATTTTTAATCTCTACAGTTACTTGTAAAATTATGTTTCTCGTTTATGGATGAGTTTCTATTTCTTTTACAGCCTGACCGACCATTGTTTCATAGCTCAGGAATCAGTCATCCCATTTCTCCTCTCTATGCCTTCCAAAACTTTGTGGAACCAACACACGGCAAAAATGGAAGTTCCCAATGTCCAGTATCAAAGGCAGGCACTTTGACTTTTTTGTTTGCTTAAGAATGTATAAAATTGTATACAATTTTATTTATTCATTGTATAAATTTTTATTTAAGTTGTATAAAATATCAAAACAACATTTTGACTATTTCACAAAGTACATAAATATTTCCTGTATTTAATCTTGGGCTCTCTGCCTTGAGCATTATGACTGTTATTCATAGCTAATGCTTGTCTTTAGGCTGTTTCTCACATGCTTTGCTGCACAGCAGGGCCAGTGAAGTGTAGAAACAGGAATCTCTGGGAATTTGGCTCTGTGAATGCCCTCGGGGGAGGGGACTCTCAGACTCTCAGATCTGGAGTAAGTCTTAACCTGCAGCTCTTTGTCTCTTCTCTGCAGGTTCAGTTGAACTCACAGCTTTTGAAACCCAGTCAATGTTTGGATGCTCACACAGTGCCTGCAGCACGTCACGCAGCAAACAAGGAGAAGTGAGTGTCAGCTACCGCAATTTAGTATTTTTGTTAATTCATTTTATAAAGCCCTTTGTCATCTTGGTGTATTTGGAACTGACTAAAGGTCCTAGTATTAGCTTGTTTCTGTGATCTGCCTTTCTTCATTGTGATGCTAATCAGTTTTGTGTTGGTTTGTTGAAACCAAAGGAAGAGCTGTGCTTGCAGGAGTGGGCCCCAAGGAACAACAGTTCAGCGTTGCTCCTGCTGACAGATCCAAGGCATCAGTACTGGGTCACTGAAAAAATTAGCTCTAGTCTGTTCTTAACCTGCTCAGTGATGGTTTAATTTTACATGGTAAAGGTCATGAAGCACAGTAGTTGCACTTCTAGTGAAGGTTTTTCTGAGCGAGTCTGTAGCTGCCCTCATTATAATGCACCGATGACCAACTGAATTTGCTTTAAATTTTAATTTGCTGTTCTATTTCTAGTGGTGATCAACTGGGGCTGGAATCAAAGTATTTCAAGAAAAAAGATGACAGCATTCCTTTACGAGGGCTTAGTCAAAACACACTTAACTCAGGTAAGTAGGAAACTGCAGGTGTTGTTTGAAATGTACTTGAAGGGCAGAGCCCTGGCTCAGTGCAGTGTCCTGTGCTGTTCTGCAGAGTACCTGAGACCCTACTTGCCAGCCAAAGCACAGCCATCGCCAAAAGCTGCTGGAACACCAGCCTCGGCCTATTTTCCTGGATCATAGACAGGCTTCTTACAGTAAGAGTCTCTTTTGAGTGTCCTGCAGTAGTGTGTTAAGTAAAGTATCAGTGTGAACTGACAAAATTTTATGAGTCAGTTTTCTTTGAGGAAGGGATCCTGACTGACTTGGATGATGTTTCAAGGTGCTTGAGCCTAAGGAGAAGAAGATGAAGCCATAAGGAACCTTAGTGGGAACAACACTGACATCACCAGGGCTGTGCAGAATTTCTTAGTATATTGTTGACATGTAGATCCTCCTAAAAACTCACCGAGGTGCTCTTTCTTATAACTAGTGAAGTGTACATTCCCTGAGAGCAATTACCTGAATTTCTATTTCTTCACTCCTTTCAAAGAACAGATGAGGTGAAAGCACATGAGAGCTCATACAGGAACATGATTTAGTTTTAAAAACTTATTTAATTTTGGAACCAGCTTATTTGAATTGCATATAGACTTAGAAATAATCTCATACTAAAAATGCTAAATTATTTCACTGAAGGTAGAAAATTAAAATTCTCAGTCTTGGTTCCCCTAACTTTTCTGTTAATCTCTCAGTATTAAATTCCATAGGCCACCATGCATGAAACATTAAAAGGTGAAGTAGCTGACTAGTTAACTGTTGATAAGTATCAACATCTCAAAGTTACTTTATTTTTATAAATCACCCTTTACAACTTGTAAGACTATACAGAAATTTTAGGTACTCTTACATCTATTTAGCTTGTTCTACTGTCTGGGTTCAACATAATAACCACTTGGGACTTGGTGTCCCCTGCAGAACAAGCATGCATGGACTTATACCAAGCAAAGTACCCTTACAATGACTATTCTTTACTTTTGGTGAAGATATTTCATTCCTTTTACCTTAGTTGCTCAGGTGCACCCAGAGGATTGTACATTTCAGTGGTTTGTTTTGCTGTGTGAGATGTTTACATTTGTTTATAAATTAGCACCATGTTAATGTATAGTGTCTGGTTTTGTCATGTATATGTTTTTGTAGAAATATTAAATGGTTTTTATCAAAAGCTCTGATTAGTTTCTGCTTCAGGAGTAGTACTAACCAACATCTCCACTGTACTGGAATTCCCAACTGAGGTAAGCACCAGAACAGCTCTATTTTATTTACCTTTTTCTGCAGTTTTCCATGGTGCTCGTTGTTCCCCCTGCCCAGCCCCGCAGAGCTCCTCTCCTGCTGTCCGTAGGTGCCTGTGCCTGAGGCTGTGTTCATCTCCAAGTGCAGAGGAGCTGCTGGCACAGAAGTGTGGCAGCATCTCCCAGGCCACTTAACTCCAAAGGGAGCCCTGGCCAGGCTGGCTGTGTGCAACTGACTTGTCCCTTGGAGCCTGGGCCTGTGCTCGTCCTGTTCACTGGGTCCCCAGGACCCGAGGAGCAGCTGCAGGCAGTTCTGTCCTGTGCTGCTGGCAGCAGGGAGCCTCCCACTGTGCTCAGGGCTGCTTTACCTAATGCATAATGCTCCATGCTGGATCACTACTCCAGATGACTTTTTCCACCTGCTGAAGTATAACACACATGCAACTACTGAACTTCACTTGAGGTTTAAAGAGACATTCACAATTATTTAAAAATTCATTAAAATATTCAACTTTATTAACAGTATATTTACATTTTTTTTTCCTTCTCTTGGTCAACCATGGTGAATGTTCAAAGGTAAAAAAGCATTAAGCAATAACCACAAGATGAAAACATTTTAAACCTATACAATACTTTATACACAAATTTATACAAAGGAACACTTAAATAATACAACTGGACACAAAAATATACACTTTTAGAGAAATTCACATCAGTAATTGTATAAAGCTCTCTTCTGTACTAAGGGTCCTGAAAATTTAGGACTAAAACTTTAGCTCTGTAATGCAAAAGGGTTCTTGTGACAGTCCTCAAAGGCCACTATATAGCACATGACAGATTCAAGGCTATCAGCTTATAGAGTTCAGTCCGTGTATTCAAGTTTTGAGGTCCTTTATGATTACGCAAACATCAGAAATAGAGTGGTTTAATAAACGGTACAGAGGAAAGCAGAGGTTTAGAGCCAATATTAAAATTTGTAGGCCCAAAACACCCACTTCGTATTTCAACACGTGTTTGATACGACCATTTCTTCAAAAATAGAAAGAGTAAATGCACTTACATAAAAATAACTTTTACTGTTCAGCAAGCGTGCTTGTGTGATTTTTATATTAGTACAAACTTAAAAAAAACCTGCCATGTGACTTTTAAAAGAAATGATACCAATTCACCTCCCTACTTAAGTACATTTACATTAAGGCTTTGAATCAGCTGACCCAAGATTTTACAACATTAAAACAAATGGGTCTACATGGATGCCAGTCTGTCTCATTGAGACGTAGCATGACTAGAATTAAAGCTCACCACCGTAAGGAAACAGAAGGACACATGCTCATGCCTTGATTCTATTGTTTGTCTCTGAACTAAGAATGTAAAGTTTAGCAGTAACAGTATTTCATGGCAAGAGACAAGTATGTAACAGTTGTTTATAAAAGCAAGTAAGTTTTTAGTTCAATGGCAACATCTTTGGAGAAAGTTCCTGTTTCAATTCCTACAGATTTCATGCAGAAAGATGCTTCTTAAGATTACCTTAAGAAATTACACTTTGATGGAGTTGGAATGTGTATCCCAGACTGCTGATGAAAGAAGAGTCCAATCCGTCTTCCTGGATTTTTGTCATACATTTGTATCTTGCAGTAATGGTTCTTTAGCTTCACCAGGAGCTTGTGGGCTGTGGGGATGGCCGTGGCTGCCACAGTGTTTCTTCCAGTTGCTGGATCTTACATTTAGGTTTGTGTGTTCAGGAATAAACAAGGCAACAAGTAGTGCCAACAGCACCGAGCACGCTCCAAATAAGAATGGGGGTCCAGGAATTATGGAGTTCTGAAAGCAACAACAAATGTGTTAGTGAGTGTAACACACCTTAACAGGCTACAGTTGCTAATTACCCACTTTTAAGAGCTGCTGCCTGACACACTGCTGAATACAGTGTGAAAACATCCTAAGATTTAGGACAAGGGAGCACATCATTCTTACTAATCCATGCCAACTTCCTTTTCTAGTGCAAGTTCTTCCTGCTGAGTTTCCCCAGAAACTTAATAATAAAAAAAAAAGCTTGGTAAAAGGACAACAGAACAAAAACATTCGCCATTGCTATCTGTCCACCCTTCCCTCAAGGTATTCTCCTCACAAAGGTCACAGTTGTCTACGACTGTCAGCTGTAGCTATTTGAAAATTAAGCTAAACTAGTGCATACAATTAAACAGATTAGTTAAACAATCCTCCCCTAGAGGGACTTCGAAACCTTTTTCTATGCCCTGCATTTACTGTCCGTGCAACAGAATGTACCACAGCATCAAACTGGAGAACAGATGAGCACAGGAGCCCTTCCTAACTTCTTTTGGAAGCAGTAAGTACAGAAGAAACATACCTGTTGTAAATGGTATTGTGCAACCACACTACCTCCTGATGATGATTCGGGCATGGGCAGTTCATTCAGTTCAACGTGAAATATATAGAATATAAAACCATAAAGGGCTGGTCCCAAACCATTACAAAGTCCTCGAATGCCTGTAATCATCCCTTGGACAACACCTGGGAAAAGTAAAATATATGTTCTTTATTGATAGTTATATAATTCACTATTTCTAATGTCTTAATTGACTTGAAACTAATGCAGGCAGGAAAGTCCTAAAAGTTGTTGCACTGTGGGTTGCAGTAAACGGGGCACCAAGAGCCTGTCATTATCATAGTCAAGTGGTTTTTCCATCAGCCTCTAGCAGAGGGCAGTGCCATGCTGCCATGCTAAGCTGGTTCAGAGGCCAGGATATGCACACAGTCACACAGGAGAGAGCACTGCGTGCAATGGAGAGGAACAGTGTGTGGAGTTTGCTGAATGTTCTGCAACTGTAAGGCCTCGTTGAGTTTTCCCTCTGCAGCAGAAGTACATGGTACACACAGTGCAACTTCCTGGCAACCTGGATTTAATGTGGTGCCCTAAGCTCAGGTATCTGGGCTGCCCTGACAAGACTGGGCCTGGATGACGAGCACTAAGCCCAGACCCCAATATGTCTGCATGGTATTCCTCAACTAGAATTCCAAGAAGCAAGAGCAAACCTACCCTGCTGGTCGGCATCAGCAGTTCGTGAGACCAGGGCGCTGACAGCTGGGAAAGTGATGCTGGACATGGCAGCCACAGCGCCGGCTGCCCACATCATCCTGCAAAACACAGCCTGCAGTGACTGCCCTGGGAGCAGGATGGGCTGTCCTGCACTCGCACCCTTCAACCCCGCATCAGTCAAAGTAAAGCGAAACGTGCATACCATGGCTCTGACCCAAAGCCGTACCAGGCCAGCTGCAGGATCTGGAACCCCAGGCCCAGCAGGATGGTGTTCTTATTTCCAATGGACCGCATCAGTAAACTCAGCACTATTGTCTAACAGAGAGGGCAAAAGTAAAATGTCAGAAAAATAACATCCTAAAGGTTACACACAAGTAAGCTGATGAGTTAATTAAAAAAACAACACCTGAAATAATTTCTGCATGTATTCTCAAATACATGCAGAAATATTATTTTAGGGTTCTTCAAAAACATTATTTGCCTCTAAAAAAAAAAAAAACCAAAAAAAAAACCAAAACAAAAAAAAAGCAGCATTTAGCAAGTTAAAGGACTAAACCATCATCTCTGATGCACAGAGGATTTAGTTTTCCCTTAATGAACCAAACATTTGTTGTCAAGTGTTTTCATCTAAGTTAGAGTCTTAATCAATTTCTAGAGATCTAGAAAACAACTGACACAGAAAAGCTGAGTTACATTTATGGAACCACAGTGTTATCCATTTTCCACAGTGCTTCCTTCTTTTCAGCTTGCCAATTCAATGACACACAGAGCAGTAACTCACCTGTGCAATAATGGAAAGAATCCCAAGAACTGCTATAAATGCTGCAACACTTTCAGATGAAAATCCCATTATCTATATTAAAAAAAAAAAAGGCAATTTGATTATCAGCCATAAACCATGTGTCATGATGTTACAAACCCCAGTGAAGGAACACACAATGCAGAAGACCAGTACTATTCAGTTCTTCATCTGTTTTCCATTACATCAAACAAATAAATGAAAATAAAGGGGCATAAATAAAAACCAAATTGTTCCCTAAAAAATAACACCAGTTTAAGATATTGAACCTCACAGTTCAAGAATAATGCAAATAATTACAAAATACAAGAAAATGTTTTATAACTCATTCATCACTTTCCTCTCTTTTTGCCTGTCTAAAAGAGAAAAACAGAACAAGGGAACTTACATCAGTTGCTGGAAGCTTCTAAATTACATGAGTTATCTGTATTTGCCATATTAGTTCAGTAACACTGAAAACTTCCTTAAATCCTGTAAATTTACTTTTGTTCAAAGTCATACCAAAATGTTACATTACCTGTCTGAGGTATAGGAAGAAGCTGGAATATTGGCCTGCCTCCGGGAGGTAGGAAAGAAAGACTGTTATGCAGATTAGCAGCACAATGGAGTCCTGGCCGACCTTCTTCAGGGACTATGGCAAGAAAAAAGAATTAAAAAACATTCCACCTTCATTTCCAAAAAGCATCCCTAGCTGGGCTCTGAGAAGCCTGACAATTAATGAAGTTGTTATGCAGCACCACCAAAGAATTCTTAAGTTTAGCAAGACTAGTGGATCACCAGTGAAGCATGGTCAAGCTTGAAGAAATTGAAGGTTTTGTTTTGCAAGCCTGAACTTTTGTAAATTCAGTCTCTTCCCTGTGTTCAGATTCCCTATTTAAGTAGCTTACTGCAAAGGGGTCAGCCTGTTCCCATGAAATGGGTGCTCCCCAGGACGCTGGCCTCATCTTCTCTGGCAGCGATTCCGGTACAGCGACAAGGATAAAACAAATGTCCAGCAAGGCTATTGCTGTAGCCAGCACCACCACCAGGCTGTCGCCGTACACTCGGCCAAGGTAGGCACCGATAGCAGGGCTGGT